CTTTCGATATGACTTGGCCTTCCACTCTCCCCACAGACTCTCTATGCTCTCAACCATGGAGGTGGTCACACTGATTGGACAGATAAGATACTTGCCATGTGATGGGATCTTTCATAGCTCCCAACACCTGATTTATTGACGACAAGTCCTGCTTACATTACAAATCCTAGTCACTGGCAGGCATCCACAGGCAGCAAGAAGAGTTGCTCAAGCGGTAATGGATGAAATAGTGTATGGATCTGAAAAGTCTGTTGAGTCATGAGTGACACTTTTTTAACCTGTTTTTGAAACTCATATAGAAAAGATCAATCCCCTTATTACTTGAGTACATCAGAGACCGTATATCGGTATATGGTACCTGACTCGAAACTGACTCTCTCTCTCTCTCTCTCTCTCTCTCTCTCTCTCTCTCTCTCTCTCTCTCTCTCTCTCTCTCTCTCTTTGGTTAGCGTCATTTATCAATTTTTCCTGGTTATGTTTATTAATGCACAAAACAATAAAGAAAAAACGTAGTTATTTCTGGGGGTTTTCAAATTGCACAAAATGTATTTGCAGATTTAACATCTTTAAAGATGTCTAATGATATATTCTTTCTTGACATGTTGATACATGAAATTCGAAACACTAAATAAGCCAATACCTTGTCTTCATAAAGCAATGGCAATTCCGACTATCCTGACTTAAACAATGACAAAACAACCTTGTTTACCTGAGTGTCCATAATTTATCATATGTTAGTCTGTGACTGGTGTCATCATCAGCCATCTCTGTGGATGTTGACATGGCTATTTATGATGCTGCCACAGGAGACTGACATCACATGCTTGCTCTGTACACACAGGCAAAGGCTGCTGACATCTCACTCCTGGGGAAACATAATGTTATTACCACACGATCTAGATATGTTGTGTCACTGTGGTAGGCTCAGTCTATACAACATTATCCTTCCCTTACAGAGACCGACGTGTACTGTTCTTTGTTCCCATATAAACCAAATAGGTTATTAAATTTGTCAAATAATGTTATCAACTTGAACCTTTTGAAAGTGTGAGTCAGCTTTTAAATTATCAGATATTACAGCATTTCAATTTTATGACTGAATTGATGTATCATTGTGCAGATGTTGACATACTGACAGTGTGGAACTGAGACTTGATAGCAAATTGGAAATAATAGAGATATGATCAAAAGATATATACTCCCGGTTTTGTCTGAAAAGGTGTGTTATGCCTGCCTATATATTATGCAATGAATAACATGATTTGTATACATGTATTATACTGAACAACATTAGAAACGCACCATCCATATAAAACGCAATAACCCCGTCAGACTGAAATGTACCTATGATATCTGAGCATCGTCGGTGCATATTAGTGTGGTGCGTTTCTAATGTTTTTCATTATATAAAACGGGCATGATGGATTTAATATCCCAGCTGATCAAACAGTCCAAATCTGTTCAACTTGCTTTGCCTCTCAAATAGTCTTATATGAACTATACATTGGTTTTACATGCTCATGACTGGATTGAGTATGTTCTCACGCATTCTCAAGGGTTGTTATAGACCTTCACCTTGCAGATGGGGCTGTATAGATCACACGGTGCTCGCTCAAGCACTCACTCACTCACTAAAATTTTGAATGATTAAGTGCAGCTTACAACAAACTCACTTTTCTCATAAACTGATACTGATATGGTGCAGAGACATTACCTAAGGCTACTTTATCAAAGAATTTCAATTGATCCGTGAAAACAGCAAAACAGTGATCTCTGTTATTTCGTCATACTCTGTGTAACTGATCAGAGACTAGAAGTGCCCATTAGAAAACCCTGTGATGAAGGTAGAGGCAACAAATTCTCTATGATTCAGTGCATTTTAGCCCCGGGTGCTCAAATTTTAAATTGTGATGACTTTAAGTGGACTATTGGTATTATTCAATCATTTTGAACTCCCAATAAGAGGTGAGGTGAAATTGGGTTTAACGTCCTGCTTGAGAATATTTCGCTCATATGACGCCGTGCATGCGTGTGTATGTGTATGTGCGGCTGCTTGTACTAGCCCAGACTGAAGCTGATTTTATAGTGCTAGCCCACTGAGATACCACGTCGCAGTGAAGCATGAATACCCCACTCAGACACATTATACCGACTCCAAGCCGACCGGTCGTTGTTGTACCCATTAATGCCGAGCGCCAGGCAGGGACCAACAAGTACCATATTTTAACGTCTTTTGGTATGACGCGGTCAGGGATCGAACCCGCGACCTTCCGCTCTCCGGACCTATTGGAGACCTACCTGGACCAAGGATGGCCTGATCATTGGATCTGATTTAGTAATAGTGTTACAGTGAACATGGGTTCCAATCCAAGATTCAACTGAGCCCATCACTGACTTTCCTCCCTAATTATACTGACAATATGAACAGTCCCTGTCGCCTAGAGTTTCTGCCAGCTTAGAGAGTCCGAAGGTGCATGGTGTGAGCCCCTGCCGTGTCAAAAGAAAAATGGCACTTGTTGTTACCTTGCCTGTGTCTTGGCATTAAGGAATTAAACAAGGACTGATCAGTCCAGGGTTCATTACATTGTGAATGAGTTGGTTATCTGTTTTAAACTGTGGCAATTTAGCATCTTAATACGGTAGTACTACAAGGCTCGACTTGTACACACATGCGCACACATGCACCTTGTTTACCTTTACCAAAATACTGTTCAAAACATGCTACAGTTAATTTATACTGACAACTGTTCACACTCCAATGAATCTTCACAAAGAGAAAGTCATTTGATATGAATCTGATGCATTGTAATTTGGGGTGGGCGATAAAACCGGTTAACCAGTATATTGCAATTCTAACTTTACAATACGATATATTGCGGTACACTTTTGCAAACCAGTTCAACCGATACAATTGGTAATTTTCGTGATGTAGTCAAAAATACTAAAAACATTTTTATTTCCTTTATATTATTATACATTACTAGTTTTGAGAATGTTAAAAGCTTTTAAACCATATAATTAAAAAAAATGTATTGGTACCGGCACTCGTAAGGATAAACAAACCAAAATGGCGGACGCCGCTGCAGACGCTTTTTCCCCGAGTCCCAAACTTTAGAGCGAAGTCTTCAATTGGGAAACATTTCCGATTAATCTCTTGTACAATCACATCTGAGTCCTGACAGTGGCCAGTTGCATTGTTTCAAAAGAAAGGAAACAGTAATTTCATTATCTTAACCCATGTGTTACACTTTCACAATATATTGCAATACATATTGCAATACGCCAACACATATCGCAATATATCGCATACAAAAAGTGTGGCAATACCCAACCCTAATTGTAATGTGGTCTCATAGGATACACAGCATACTGTAAAACACTGACTTCAGATTGATACCTGTCATTCATATTAGTGACCATCCTTCTGTTTGTTCACAAGTGTTCAGTAAACAATATTCTTGTTGCCAAAACTTGAAGTCTATGCTCTCAAACACTTTCTGTCATATTTTCTGCACCAAATTTGCATTGTATAACCTGTAATGTATATGATAATTATGTAACAATGCCCATCAACAATGAATGTGAAAGAGGTACTTTTTATTAATATTATCTTCCATGGTGTAGTCATCACATTGGCAGTTTCTATCAGTGGTGGTTATTGAGATTTTTACCTCTAATGATCCAATCAGAATCAAGTATTTCCCCAATTCATTGGAATTATTCGTCTTCAGATTTCCTCCTGTTGGAACACAAGTAGTGCATGACAGGAGGTGACCTATATACACATACTTACATCAGTGTATTGTATGGTGAATATGGAGAGGCTTATTCTAAAGCTGTATTGTACACAGTGTGGCTGTAAAGTTGGCAAGTAATATTCCTGGCTAGGTCATGAATGTTCAGAGCTACAGGCTGATGTTAACGAACATAGGAAACGGTAGAACTGTATGGATGACTACTTCTTGTTTATTGCATTTAGCAACATTTTAATGTAGACTGTTACATTGTTATCTCGCTGGAGTGAATACAGCTGAATAAGAAAGGTCTATATGAGAGGTATACATCCATGATATGTTGTGATAAGCTGTAGATCAAGTAAAACAGGTAAATAATTGAATAACAAGTTGCACACAGGTTGCACACAAATTTGTCTCAATTTTATTTCCAAGTTACTATATTCTTCATTTCTGAAATTATTTTCCATGTGTAGTAATTAATAGCAGCAGAATCAAATCTTTGACCAACACTCGAACAATCTGTGAGCAAGTCGTGAATCTTTGCTGCCTAATTTTCAGCATGTTGACAGTTAGGCTTGTTGGGCAGCACGTGAACATGGGAACATTCTGCTATCCTATGCATATTTGTGTTACGCAACTGGTAATATTTATTCTTCATGTTTTTAGGCAAGGGTTGCATACCTGAGCCTTATTTTTTTTTGGTTTTTTATTTAAACCTCATTTCTTAGTTGCTAAATTGAAAGCATGCTTACAAGAATATATTTGTTTGATTTTATGAGTACCCATACACTAAGTCTGAAAAATGTAGTTATGTAGTTATGAATATAAGACTTACAGTGTTTTAGTTATTTATTTGGAAGCATTTGTATGAGTTTATTCAGATGAATTGTTACCACTGATGCATCTGTTAAGATCAGCATGACAAGTATTCTGCAAAAGAACACCATGATTAAACACATGCCACTGGCATGATTAAATATTAAGGGCAATAAATTAGGCACCTTGAATACAATTAACTCTGTAAACAGGTGTAAATGGCAAACACAATATGGGCATGTTGTATATAAACTGCAAATTGAAGAAGAGGGTACACATTGCAGTATTTTCAGTTGTATTTTTGACAATGAAATATTGTTGTATTTGCATGTTTGCCTTGTTGTTGTACATTAGCCATGTTTCCATGTTGTTTCCTATATCATGTTCATGCTGTATTTTGTACCTGTTAAATACATTATGTTAATATTGTTGTATATTTTTTTTCAGAATAATGATGAGGGCGACCCTCAGGATGGTTGAAAGTATTTTATCAACTTGCCTTGTTGCAGCCATCCTTACCTCAGGTATGTTTTCACATGAGTACAGGTGTGGATTCAGTAGAGGGGAAGGAGGCACAATTATTACTACAGACAAATTCTCAGATTGTTTGAAATGCTGATATCCACCCTGCCAGTGGTTATTATGGAGAAAAAGATCTAGTGGTTAAATCGTTCGCTCGTCACACCGAAGACCCGGGTTCAATTTCCCACATGGGTACAATGTGTAAAGCCCTGCCGTGCTATTGCTGGAATATTGCTAAAAGCGGTATAAAACTAAACTCACTCACTCACTCACTATTATGGTGAAAACATGGTTGTAGTAAACAGTGGTATCACCAGCAAAGAAAGAACCTTCAGCATGTTAAGCCTGTTTGTTTTGTATACAGTTACTGAGCTTCATGTCTCAAGCTAATTATTGTCATGCACACAGAGGGGCGGTGGGGTAGCCTAGTGGTTAAAGCGCTATTGTCATGCACATGGGCACATAAGCCCATTTCTGGTGTCCCCCGCCGTGATATTGCTGGAATATTGCTAAAAGCGGCGTAAAACTAAACTCAGTCAGTCAGTCAGTCACGCACACAGAATAGAATTCCTTTCTGCCTGAGTACTGCAGTTCTTGTCAGGTGATTGCATGACCCACATTCATCAACCAAGACATGACAGGGCTGTTCTTACAAGTCGGCCATGGCTACTAAAACATGTTTGTGTCATTGTGCCATAATACAATCAACATCATTAATCTCAGATACTAGGCCAAATATGCCATACATTTGTTTAGGTAAAATACCCAGTAGTGTAAAAAGTGAGGTTTAGTTTCCTATTCATATACATGTTTGCCTGGCATACGCTGCAAGGACATATGACAGTCAGGATGAAAACAAACAGCCCTTCCTGCCTCCAGTCACCTAACTAAATATGTGGAGAAAGCAAGTGGTGATCACACATTTGCACTGGTCTTGGAAGAACAAATACTAGACAGTGTGTAATCCTTTATATACACTCATATCTAGTATATTTGTAATCCTTTATATACACTCATATCTAGTATATTTGTAATCCTTTATATAAACTCATAACTAGGCTACTCTAAATATGCTTCACCTTTGCCACATTGCCTGCGATCATGTTTCATGCCTTTAAGGGGGCGGTGGGGTAGCCTAGTGGTTAAAGCGTTATATTTTAGCTCGTCATTCAGCAATGACCTTTGAAGGGTTCAAATCCCCACATGGGTACAATGTGTGAAGCCCATTTCTGGTGTCCCCCGCCGTGATGTTGCTGGAATATTGCTAAAAGGGGCCTAAAACCAAACTCTGATGTGGAATATATCAAAGCATCTAATCATGGTATTTATGGTTGCATGAAAATTCGGCTTTTTTCTTATTAGTGAAAAGAATTTTCTGAGAACTTCCTCAGAATATCACAGTGATGATGCTGGACCTTTGTGGCAACAATAACAAGATCAATAGTAATAATATTGTTCTATTATCATGGTTATATATTTTAGATGCTAATATGTGTATTCAGCAATGGCCTTTGTTGTTGATATTGTAAAAAATATACTATCTTAAAAAGTGAAATGAAATTAATAGAGCAGGTCCACATGAATATTTGTTCAGACATCAGACCACACCATACAGACTATTACCTACAACATTTCTTATGCTCATCGAGGGGCGGTGGGGTAGCCTAGTCGTTAAAGCGTCCACTCGTCACGCCGAAGACCCGGGTTAGAATCCCCACATGGGTACAATGTGTGAAGCCCATTTCTGGTGTCCCCCGCCGTGATATTGCTGGAATATGGCTAAAAGCGGCATAAAACCATACTCACTCACTCACTCATGCTTATCGACTGTCCAAATGTACTTGTGAACACAGTAATACACAGGCGATTGTATGTCGGAAGAGTTCAGTGCCAATGGTTGCAGTATGGTGCCAATATCTTTCATACCTGGGACATTCATTGTCCTTGACATTAATATGTTTTATATGGGAAATGTCATGATGACAGCCTGGACAGAAAAACAGAATCTTAGCATGACTAACTCCTGGAACATGAAGCCTGACCCGGAGTTGACCCCAGATGTTGTGTGGTGTTTGATGACGCTGTGTCAGGAATTGTGTGTTGGGGATGGTCCTAGAATGATAAATGATGGACTTCTAAGGCGGATTTCCTCAGCATAATGTTTGATGTTCAGGAAACATAAAGCTGCCATGATTGTTTATAGCTCCTGTTGTTTTCTACAAACTACAGGTGTAAATCAGATGGTCGAGGTGGTTCATATCGTTACCTGAAAGAAAGGCCAGTGTAGCCCATGTCAACATTTGTCATTTCCAGCTTCAGTCATTATTATCATTGATGATCTGTACAGGTGTCTGTAATTATCTGAAAGCACTTGACCATTGAAGCTGAAGGTGAAATTATCATTCCTGCCTATAGTGAGACCTCAGTTCATCTGACTGTTACTGTAGAAACAGTCTGCAGTAAATCAACCTATGACCTTGGCTGTCATCTAAATCTAGAGAACTTTTTGTAATTGCCTTTTGTGGTGTTCAGTCGTCTTGTCCTGGTTTTTTTTGTCATGTGTTGATTCTGAATTTTCCATGTTAACCATTTTTGTCTTCTTCCACACGGCCCCAGAATCTTTTTGACGCCTGTCAAATATGATGTAATGCATAGAGAGGGTATATGCACTGAGTCAGTGAATGGCTTGTGGGTACTTTTCTATCAATTCTTTTATCATCAACAGCATTAGGTTCCAGTCATTGGCAAAATTATTGTAAAATTGTTATATCATCGGGATCATTCAGGGACCACAGTTTTGAACAGCTGAATATTTACTCACATGTTGTAATTCACATGGCCAATTGATAGGTTTCTTTCAGTATTCAGCATAATTTCATTTGCTCATGTCTTGTCTCGAGAACTTTGTAAGTCAATGAATATGTTTTTCCCCTTTTGGCTAGCCCTTTCTGCCATGCAAAAGTCCTAAATGATATAAGCCTAGATATTCTTCAGGTTCTGAATCTCCCATCTCACTGGGATTCCTTTCAGTTCATATGGAGAAATTTGTTTCAATAATCCTTATAAATTTTCAGTTTTAGTCTAGCTTCTAATCAGCGCATGTTCTTGTGCTGCTCCAAATGAGTCATAGTCTCATAACAGGCTAGGGAACAACAAGCGAGTTGTTGCACATCAGGGCATTATTCATAGTGTACAGTTCTTGTCAAAATGCTTGTAGTCAGTCAGTCAGATAACATCAGTAGAGGCATACAAAGCTGAAAAACCTACCATATATTATTGGAGTCAGGCGGAATTTTGAGGACCCAAAAAAGCAGTCAATAGAAGGGGGATATATACAGGTTACACTTTCGTGAAACTTTTTTTCAGGGTGTAAGAAAATGACATTGTATCACTTCATGTGAATGAACAAGAGAAGACAACTTTGTCAGTAAAGATGTCAAATTTGCAATTAACATCACTAGGCAAGATGATTTACCGTTTCAGTTCTAATTTGGTATTGCTAGGCTTTGTCTTATATGCAGACATGAAGATTACCGTGTGTATTTGTCTGTATATGAGTAAACACAATATGATAGTGATTGTTGTGAATAATGTGGACCAAAGTTATAAATATCGGAGGATAAACATGCCTAATTCAATATGGAGTTGTTGACACTATTTCCGATGACTGATCATGACGAAAAGATGAGCACAGATTGGGGGGTATTAAGGGAACCCACCATTTTGACACTGATTTTAAGGGTCAATATAGGGGGGTTGGCTTATCTATGAAATCTACAGTAATATATGGTACATTATGTAATTATACACAATGTTATAATACAGTCATCAATCCTAATAACACCCTTATCTAATTGGTGCCTCCCATTAAATAAGATCCCCAATGATAACCCATTTTCATGTCATTGGAAATAGCATATCAACAAATCTGCTTTTGTGCTGGAGTTCATCACGTAGGGATTAGCTAACGAAATTCAATGCAGATGGTAATATGAATTGTTAATTGTATATCGGGTTGAGACGGGTAATAATTGAAAGTACTCGAGTTGCCGAGTACATGTCTTCGATACTGCGATAAAGTCTGCATGGATGGTCCAGGGTTATTAGAAGCTCTGAAACGCGTTTTCCTTGTTCTGAACAGTAATTACGTCTTTGTTTCAGGCATGAATTTTAAGCTATTGAGGTTTGTTCTTTTCAAAATAATATATATTCTCAAACTGATTAGTAATTGCATGATCTACTGATATGAAGAAATGACATACGTTTAAATACAACTCCAAACTTTAATCTATTGATGGCAAGCCAATAGCTTGAATACAAACCATAATGGTAACGAACATTGTACATAAGCGTCAGTGACTTATGTATTGTAGTGTGTGTTGGAACAGCGTATTGCGGATTGTGGGCTTGGCAGAACTGTTTAAAAAACTTCTCCTTCAATAACAGATTGTGGCCGTACATGTTTAAGTATCAGGACTGCTCCTCTCTTTAAATCTTGATAAGTTGCCTTTGTGAGAGGTTTGACCTAAAATAATAGGCTAAAATAAATAATTGTTCATAGTTCATACCACTTTCTTCAATGTAGCTTGTAAATGCTGATATTATTTTTGTGTATTTGCTATGAATTTTGGGTGGATGTGGGTTTTTTAACATGCACTGTTTAAAGAAAATGAATGAATAAACAATACCATAAAGTATATCATGCTACCAGAGTTATCTACCTTGAATATTAAAGTTCAGTTCTACATCCAGCTGACATTCACGTTGTGACAACGTTATGCTTTCGTTGTTACAACATGTTTCTGTGAACTCCCATTTATGTTGTCACAACGTTGTGGCCTGACGTTGTGTTTAGTCATTTTTTACGTAACGGTAAAATTATTTGATGCTGATGAATTTTACATTGTCTTAACGTTCTGTTTATCGCTCATAGTGGAATAGTTATCCCATTAGTGAACAGTACATAAGAAACAAAGCTTACATTCATTCAATGGTTATTCGTCAATTTGCATGTTGTTTGGTTTTGTGTTTTCTGAAGCTGTAGCTGAACAGTGAAGAAAGGAATCTCTGATCGTGACACCAAGTTATAAGAAACGTTATGACATTGTGAGGAGCCCATAGGATAACGTTTCCTCAACGTAAATTTGCAACATTGTTATTTAGGAGATAAATATCATGTGTTGGCCAATTTCTGGGTGTTATTTAGTATTTGAAGCACAGGAATTCATTTGGAAGTGACTACGTTAGCTGGGCTTTAACCTGGGAATTCAAGTCAAGTGACGTGTGAAAAACGTCAGCAGAGTGTAATCTCAAAAGGCTACCTAATGAGACCAATGATTTAGCGTGGTATATGTAACTAAGATAGTGTAATCTGTCATGAAGAGGGTTAATACACTCTTCCGTTTGGAAGAAATACAAGTGATTTGCATATAAATTTTTTGACCTTCAGCTATTTTATAATGTTTGCTAATTCTGAGAGCTTTGTATTATCGATTTGATATGAATGTATCTGAAATTCGGAAATATTATGTTGTTCCTTTGTAGTGAAACTTCTTGGACAAGTACTTGAGTAGTATTTTAAGCTACATAGAGTAATGCTCCTAACCACCTCGTACTATAGTACCCGGGTACCCGTTTCAGCCTAATTGTATATCCTTGTATTATGGGTTTTCAGATGTTAAGAAACACTCAGGTTTTCTTGATTACGGTAATCACATGAACATCATACCAACTCATAAAACCAACTCATAAAGACAACTTTTCACAAAGGCATGACGTCAGCCAAGTGTTTACAATGTTTGAGTGATGCAACCAGATATATATATTATATATATGGTCTCTGATGCAACACACCTTGTTATAGCACACTGAGTAAACACGATTAACCTGAGCACAACAGCAGATTTATTGATATCCCATTTCCAATGACATAAAGTGTATGATCGCTTGAGAACAATTTTTAATGGGAGCCACAAATTACCCTACAGTTTAACCGAAAGTGTGATATTGCAAAGGTCGTTATTGCGAGGAATATCTGTAGTTTTAAAATTTTGATCGCTTACTTCTCTCTATACAACAAAAGGCAGTACCATCTGTTTTGTGAAAGCTTAAAGTCATTGTTTAGTTTATAGAGTAAAAGTGTCTTTATTTGGAAATTACCGATGTACCTTGACAAACCTGAGACACTGTATATTCATGAATATGGTGCAGAGTACAAAACCTTCATGAAATTATGTGATGAGTTACATCCTACTATCAAGAGCACATACAAATGAACTGTTTGAGAGGCATTCTTGAAGTTGTAAGTAATAGGAATGACAAGACTTTATGGATGATCAACTTCTTAATTGTGCAATACTTACTTATACCGTTTTCGGACTAACGGGATCGGGTGGTCAGTTTCGCTGACTTGGTTGACACATGTCATCGGTTCCCAATTACGCAGATCGATGCTCATGCTGTTGATCACTGGATTGTCTGGTCCCAACTCGATTATTTACAGACCGCCGCCATATAGCTGGAATATTGCTGAGTGCGGCGTAAAACTAAACTCACTCACTCACTCACTATACCGTTTTCAAGCATCATGCTTTTCAAGTTGTTCATTCTTAAAAACAGCTGTAATTTACAAAGATAAATAAGGATATCTAGGTTACTCACAAACCCCTCAAGTTTACTGTGTTGACCTTAGGGTGAGTGAGTGAATTGGGTTTTAGCAATATTCAAGCAATATCACGGTAGGGGGCACTAGAAAGGGGCTTCACCATTTGTACCAGTGTGGGGATTTGAACCTGGGCCCTAGGCATGATGAGCTAATGCTTTAACCACTCGGCTACCCCAGGTTGACCTTTGATTACAGCAGCATCTGCTGCTGATCAATCATTGATGCTGTTATACTGTTAGTTTTACTGCCTCATACTGTTAGGTTATGATACCTAACATGGCAATAAGACACAGCATACCTTTGCTCCATTGAACTGTCATCAACATGGAAGTGTGAGAGTTGATTTTAATGTTGCAGTGACAGTATTTCAGTAATATCACGGCTTGTTGGTATGGAGTGTGAGTGTGGTTTTACACCGCTGTTAGCAATATTCCAGCAGGGGACACCATGAATGGGCTTCACACATTGTACCCATGGATCAAACCCGTGTCTTCGGTGTGCTGACTAAATGCTTTAACCACTAGGCTACCCCACTGCCCCGTTTTGGGTATGGTGAAATAGGGTGCATGCATATTTACCCGTCGAGCTGAGTGGTGCTATTCCTCTGAGGTACCACACTGCAGTTGAGCATGGATACCACTCTCAGACACAGTATTTTCTATCCCTTGCAACGCTTTTTGCAGGGGGTAATAAAATGGACTCCCATTAGTGCACAATTGTCTTTTCCAGAACAGAACTTTAAAACCGTTCAATATTTTCTTCACCAAATATGGCACATAGATAGGTCTGGTAGTGGACTGGTGCCTTTTGTTAGTTTTGGATTTCTGAATAAAATATGTTTTGCATTTTTCATGGCAACAAGTTTGACTTTTTCTTTTTCAATGCAGAACTTTAAAACCTTTCGATACTCCACTTTGCAATGTAGTCACTGACTTCGTTGGAACATATCATTATATCAATTGCGTAGATCGATGCTCATGCTGTTGATCACTGCATTGTCTGGTCCAGATTTGATTATTTCCAGACTGCTTCCATGTAGCTGGAATATTGCTGATTGTGGCATAAAACTAAACCCACTTATTCACTCACTTCTATATACATGCCAAAACATTTGAGATAGTCATAACTAATTGACATATTCATGAAGAGTATTTTGCCATTGCAGGGGATATTGATGACTTTTTCTTCTTGTTTTTTTTTTTGTCATTCGCTCATTTCAGTGGCATGAAATGTTTCATTTATTTGAATTATGGTAAAAGTCAGCATACTGACATATGAAATGTGGAAAGTGGAAATGATGTTAATGTGATATCGTATGTACATTTGTTCTCAGTATCTGGTGCTCCAACCATAATAACACCATCAGAGACGGTGACAAGAACTATCGGAGGGATTGCCATTCTGAGGTGTCAAGTCCGAGACATAGGAAATGCCACAGTATGTATATTTATATGAGTAGTTACGTTGGTTGGGTACCTCACACTAAAGTCAGCTGACAGCTGATTGTGCAGCAGATTACAGACAGCTTGGATCCTAAATCCTTGTGCTGTCAAGTACTGGCCACTAGTGGTGTGACGATTCATCGATACGCATCGATTCATTGATCCATGGGCCGCCGATACAGTGAATCGATACAAAGTTTTACATTGTTGTATATGACGATATGATACTTCAAATGAGCCACGATACATTGATGTTTAACATTGAGTATTGCCGAATCGCGATATCTGTCAAGAAAAAAGACTTACTTTTGTTTGATGCTTAAAATGTATGCTTACTTATTTTCTCTTCATAAATAAACGTTTTTCTCGGAAATTCTTGCATCAAGAACTGTGTCAGACATAGAAATCGCATGTTATCAACATTCACAAAGCCCGTGTATTAACTTAATTATCTCGTTTCCAGATGAACATTGAACAATGCTGGCGGGAATTTGACGAATAGGTGGTGTTAGAATTACAGATTTTAGTATCGTGATGTGTACCGTATCGCCACCCTTATATCAGGATTCATATCGTATTGCAGCTTCAGTGCACAATATTTTGGCAATATTTCCTCGTGATTAAAATTTTAGTATCATGATATATCGTATCGCAGGTTGTATGCCAATATACTACCAGCACTACTGGCCACCATCTCTTACTTCACAGACTACTGTAGCTGTAATATTACCTAGCTTATATTGTTATGCTAACATTGTGCCATTGTCATATTATTGCTGTGCTAATACTGAAACTTTGTTGTGATGGTTGCTACAAGGTTGTAATCCTATTGTCTGAATGTTGTAACTATGTTGCAACTTTTCTGTGTTAATATTGTAACTTCTTTGGGTGGCATTTAGTGTGATGAACAACAAGGAGAGTTCAATATAGATATACAACTACTTTATATAATATTAGAATATTATCATACGACTTGCTTGATAACGGTGTTAGTAGCTACACTCCGGGTTCAATTCCCCACATGAGTACAATGTTTGGAGCCTATTTCTGGTGTCCCCTGATATTGCTGGAATCTTGCTAAAAGCGGCTTAAAACCATACTCGCTCACTCTCACTCTCTCACTCACTGGCACTCACTCACTCACTGGCACTCACTCGTAGCTACACCGAAACCGCTCATATTATATTTAAGAAGTTTTATATCCGTAGTACTCTCCTTGTTGATAATATAATGTAACTATGTACTAATATTGTTGTGCTAATACTTTAACTTTGTTCTAATGTGGTCATACTTATTCTACAGTTAGGTTGTTTAAACCATGTTGTAATATTCAACTAATGTTGTAATCAGGTTTCTTGTAACAGAAATATAAATGAATGATGTTTATTACATGAAAGGCCATGGGCCCAAATGCGGTAGTAATTACAGAAGGTCATGATGAGTGATATACAGCTATGATAGTATTAGCATGGCGATCAATGATGAAAGAGATAAATGAAAATACTCTTGTTTATGTGTATTACAATACATTACCAATCTTGTCAGTATATATAACCATTTTACCTGTGTCAATACTTAGATAAGAAGTGCCAACTCCTATACATTTCCTTGTCCTGACTCATACTAATTGCTTTTCTCTCCTTTTACCCTAGAAAAAGTCGAAACGTTTATTTTTCCCCCAAGAACAGTAAAAACATTTTATCTTAACTCAACCCTCCACTGTGCATGGTCACTGGCCTACAAGCTGGTGACTTGTCACTCTCTCCATATTTGCCCTACAAGATGGTTGGGGGAATATTGTAAAGAGTTTTTCAGAAAGTATGGCTTGGATTATCCTTTGAGAGTCTTTTATGTATCATATTTTTGTTAATTTGGCATTAAATTAAGTTGAGCAACTCAATGACCAGCTGAAGGCCACTCTCCAGTTGTTAACTAGGTTGGTTAAAGATCTTCTACCTTCACAAGGTCTTCAGATTTTAGGAATCAAATTCCTTACTGAAGAAAATTGCATACATGCACCAGAACATTGGTGGATACAGATTCAGCAGTATCTTTGGTTAGCTCTCAACAATCAGATACCAGTCAACCAATGGTAGTTGGTCTAAGGACGGTGTGAGGCAGATTGCAACTAAGACCTATACAAAGATTCATGAGACCATTACTGTGTGCATGTAATAGTGGAGATGGCTGTGAATAATACTCAAACATTATTTTCTCAAATACTGCATTCCCTATAGGGAGAGTGAACATAATGATAAGTAAGTATGGTATTGGCATTTATTTTGTTTCATGACATCTCACAATATTCCATTTCAGATCAACTGGTTATTTGTGGACCACAATACCCAAATATCTCAAGGAAGGACTGTCCTGGTGACTACGCAAGGGAAATATGGCTTTTTATCCCCTATAGGTAAAGAGAGCGCAACTTGGAAGCAATTTTTAGGCAATAATAAACATGAACATGTGCTGAGTAATAAGTCTTTTTGGTTTCCATGACAATGTCTTTTGTTGAAAGGTGGAAGAAAATTCCAAATATGAGGCATCAGAACTTGTACCATAAATGTCTGTTTTTGTTCAAATGAAAATCTGCCTTGCCTTTGCATGTGTTTGTGATTGTTGCTGCCAGTGGGGCAGGATACACTCTCCTTTCATTACTCACCTGGTATCACCATTGTTAAATGTAATATCTGTTCACTCAGCAGAAAAATGGGTGGGATAAGTCATGTGACTATAACCTTCTAGTGCCTAACAGGCAGCTTGGGTTATCCGGGGTAACAATGTGCTGTGTTATTCATTGTTAGCGCTATGAGCATACCTGGTGTGGAGTTCGGTACTATATAAATGGACACATTATTGTTTGAAAGTGATCAGTGATTTGGTCAGATTTAGGCCTAGTTTTCTTATTGTTGCTTATATTTCTCTATTCTTTTTCATATATTCGTAGTTTTTTGTTTTGTAAATATTTTTATTCAAATATTGTTACAACTGTCATAGGGATTTTAAATGGACATTTAAATGCTGATATGTACCCCAAGGAGGAATATATTCAAAGAATCTGAAACCTCTACAGGTTAGTTCGAATTGTACCAGTGTTCCAGTGTGTTCGGAGTTGAGATTCATCCAGTTTCCTTATTTCAGCGAGAGAAACATACCCATGAATGACGTCAGTGCAGAAACTGATTATTTATATTTGCAGACAATTTAGCAACTCGGCAGTTGAATCTCCAAATAACAAATTTGGACATAACAGACGCAGGTCAATATCGATGTTACGTGAGTGGTACATCCCGGAACGGTGAAAGTGGTCCAGACTCTTCAAGTACGAGGTAATTCCATGCTTTGTGCTCAGCTTTCCTTTGTCTTTTCACCAAAAATGATTTCAGTTACTATTTTTGTCAAATATAGCTCACTCTCATCCTGTATTTCATTCAGCTATTTTGTTGTGAATTTTATAGTAAAGTATTGTTAGCTTGATGTTTCATTAATGGTGCTTTGGGAGTTTTGGAAGAGGAATGTATCAACTTTTAAATTTTGCTTCATCGAAACTATTTTTGTGGATAATGGGTGCTGAGGGAGTTTCAATGTGACTTAACTTGAGTATTTTCTGCACATTTTTTGGTCAACAGTATGTTATGGCTATATGTATTGTTTGTGTGTATATTTCTACAGGTGCACCTGCTGTCCCAACCATCACTGTGGAGCCAGCAAACTACACAGGTAACATTAATAAATATGCAATTTCTGCTATTTTTGTGTTTTTTGTGTGTGCTGATAACTCTAAAACTTCAACAAATATAATTATCATGAGGAATAAAAGAACAGTTTAACACATTATGAAAATACAGGTGAGTGTGTAAGGAACCGTTCATAATTTATGGCTAGGGGGAGTGATGATGATTTTCATGGAGAAGCATGTACAATGTGAATGACCCCCCTTAAAATTTATGTACAATGTAAGTGACCCCGCACTGCATGTCATGTACAAAATCAATGACCCCCCTACCTTCCCATAAGTTTGAAGCGTAATCATTTAATATTTCTATGTACAAAATTGCTGACCCCCTCCCTCGTACATGTGTACAAAATTGATGACTCCCCCTACCTCCCAAGAACAAGATGGGTGACCCCCTTAAAGTCATCACCACCCACCCACCCACCCCCCCAAAAATTTTTTATGAATGGTCCCTAAGTGGTACGTGTTCATTTACATAGTCTGGAGTAAACTTGTACACTGTTTGTACCTCCATTGCAGTGAATACATGTGTCTGATAGGTGGTATTGTGTTAGCCAACAAGTCAAACCAAAGTCGGGTATAGTGAGACGAAAGCCACTTAATACTCAGACCATGTATGCCAATCTAAGACATTTCAAAGGCAAGGGTGGCCCAGTTGGCAAAGGCGGAGCAATTCACTTCAGAGTTGTGTCCCTTAGGCATGCCAGGAAACCCAAGATTGTGGGTTCGAATGTTTATTCACCCAAATATGTTTCTGTAGGTTTGTTAGCACAGTACCCATGCTCTCAAAAGTTGTGAACAGCTGAAACATGTATCAGTTGTTACATAGCCTGACATGTCATGATATAACAAGAAGGCTGTTCAAAGCAGCATAAAACCCAACTCACTCACTCACATAGACATTTAGCACAAGCAGTGGATGAGTGATAATCATGACCATTATTTGGAGAGTAAATATCCTGGTAAGTGGTGATGGATTATTGTATCTATTCTGTTACAGACTGTTGTGTCGAACAGAATGTGTCTGCCTCCTGCCTACCTGCCTGCGTACCTGGTAATGTCAGCCAGGATGCACTGAACCCTCTGCAGGCATGTGCCCTTGACCTTAACAAACTTCTGCACTGCTTCTCAGGTAAGACGATGTATTTGCTGATCTACCAAAGTCCAGAATTTAAAAACAAAACAAACTTTTAAACTTATCCTATCTCACGGTATGCACTTCTCTCTCTACTTTGACCAAAGCTAAGTTGATGAAAATCTTCTGGCCTTTCTCCCACCCGACCTCTTCCCCACTCCTATAGCTGGACCTGTCAATCATCTCTGTAAAGTCCAGAATTTAAAAACAATTCTATGCTATTCAAAAGAAGTTACAGAATACTTGATGAAACACCCAATCCTTTCACTTTATTACATGTCATGACACATTGGCTATAGTAATATATAAAAGGATTAGGTGCTCTCTTCCATCTTTTGAGAGTATATATTGATCAAGGTAAATTCACCATAAGGTGTACATTTAGGATCAAAGTGCATCATAAGGAATTGCCTACAAGGACACTGTCTGAAGTGAGGTATATTGTAAGTACAGAATGTCAGTTTAGACATGGAATTGAACAGTTATGTAACATGAGCACAGAACAAATGACTAGTGCTGGTTTATGAAATGTGTCTACATGGAGGTGCTGGGTTAAGATTGGTCCACAACATATCTATGCTGGTGATATGAGGTGACCAGTCGGATTGGGTGGTCAGACTTGGTGACTTGATTGTTGGCATGTCATTACTCAGTGTATGAAATAAGGCCCGTCAGACCACCTGAGATGGGCGAGATTTCTGATGGACGGTCTAGATTTACAACTAGCCAACCTGATGGTCTGGTAAAAAAATTTAGATGTTCCATACATCTGAGTAAATTCACCATATGTTGCTTGGTGTCTGGTCTGGTTATATCCATTGATGTCTGGCTGGGGTTTTGGTTTATTTCATACACTGCATTACACCCTGAATGAGTGAACAAATTTCAAACACTGGATTTGGGTGACCTGACTTGATTATTTACAGGCTGTTTTCATACAGCTGAAATATTTCTGAAACATGCACACAGACACAGACCATTTTCCGATATCAGTATTGTCTCTGAACCAGAATCACATAGAAGACATTGTTTGTGCTATATTGTCCTTCATAACATAAAACTTGAGTTATCTTTGTATTATTTATTCAGATTCTCGGAATCATGCTGGTTGCTGTCACCGACGCCTTATCCCCGACATCTGCACTGACTTCTGCATGAACAACCCCCCTCCACTCACAGCCAGCCACCTGATGTGCCTCAACTTTGCCAGTGACATCATTTCTTGCTTTGAAGAAGGACAAGGTAAGATTTTTAGGATGTATGCTTCACATCAGGAGAGTAGCTCATTCATAAACGTATTGATTCTCCACATGACTGAAAGAAGTGACAAATCTTGATCCATCCATACCAGATTCAAAATGGCCCCTGTGGCAGCCATTTGAATATTTTGAAATGTTTTGACTTCTCCAATTCAGTTTAATAGAGTTCTTTGTAAACATATTTTAGATCAGCACTTCACAGAAATTTATTGTGAAGGCTAGGTTGTTTACTTTGCGATAAACCTACCACATAGTGACTTTGTCATACTTTTTCCCTAGTATTGCTGCCTGGTCCACCAACAGAGGTTTCTGTGTTGCCACTTTCTGCCAACACCATCCTGGTCAACTGGCACCCTCCCACTAAAAACCCGACTGTCGTCACAAACTACAGGGTGTCCCATAAACTAGCATCATCACAAGTATATCTGTCAGTAAGTAGAAGATATATTGTTAATTAAAAGTTTCCATCTGCTCAGTTACATCTTTGAATCACAAAGAATTTGGTCAGAAACTATGATTGCTAAAATTCGAAGAACAGCAGCCTGTGCTGATTGGCGGATTGTCATCAGTACCTTCATCAGGCTGGAACTGTTTAATCATTGATGGGCTGATGACAGCAGCCTGTGGTCTGCCAAGCTGTTTCAGCTGCTGTTTGGACCCTGTTCCTGTTCTGTTGATGTAAACACAAATGCAAAGATTATTGTGACACACAAACAACAAACGGAATCAGTGTTAAACTTTTACATCCATGAATGAAATGTTATTACACGTTTCAAGGTATGGTAACAATCAACGGTCCATAAGAACAATGCACCCGCCATATGCAAATATGAGCAATGTCATGCTGCCAGGTACCACACTGAAGCATATACCTATAACTCTCTGCCTTTTTCCCCAAGGCTGGGCATGTCGAACTTGTTCCAGAATGATAAATAGAGGTGTTTTCTCAGTTTTGCACCACTGCATTGGAAGGAACTGATAAGCATCCATTTGTCTGGACTTTTAAAGTAAACATTGCTCCAAACATGTCAAGCTTCTGTTTCTCTGGTTCAAAACCAATAATTCATTCACAAGATTGCCAATGAAAAAGTTCCATGTCACAATGACCTATGCCTCTGAGAATATACTGTTGAAGTGATGTCAACAGTCAACAATGTTGTTTGTGGTGCTGAAACCTTCCTGCATTTGATAAGGTGTTGTCATGAAGACAGGGGAGACAACCACTGTCTTCTCTGTCTGATGGCTTCTTACTGTTGGTAACTCTGAGGTCTTTATTTACCAACAAGCTGAATGACATGATTGAAAGATTGATGACTGTTTATACGTGAAGCTTCCACTTTCATATCATGCAAGTTGACTTCCATGTGATGGATTCTGAAACGAATCCAATAACTGAAATGTCATGCATTAAAAGTGCTTGTACAGAACACTATGGTGCAAAACATGGTATAACCAAATGTTATCTTTAAGACAGATTACACATCAAATTATTATATCAACATTTCTACTTTAGGTTTCAGATTTATCTAATTAGTTTGTTGTTGTTGTTTCTCTCCTTTTTCCTGTCACTATGGATGTCACTATTACTACTGTTGTTGTTGTTGTTCCTCTCCTTCTTCCTGTCACTATGGCTGTCACTATTACTACTGTTGTTGTTGTTGTTCTCTCTCCTCTTCCTGTCACTATGGCTGTCACTATTACTACTGTGTTGTTGTTCCCTTCTTCCTTCTGTGGCTGTCACTGTTACACTGTTGCTGTCCTCTCCTTCTTCCTGTCACTGTTGTTGTTGTTGTTGTTACTCCTTGTTCCTTCCACTGTGTTCCTGTATTACCTATTACTACTGTTGTTGTTGTTCCTCTCCTTCTTCCTGTCACTGTGGCTGTCACTATTACTACTGTTGTTGTTGTTCCTCTCCTTCTTCCTGTCACTATGGCTGTCACTATTACTACTGTTGTTGTTGTTCCTCTCCTTCTTCCTGTCACTATGGCTGTCACTATTACTACTGTTGTTGTTCTCCACTTCTTCCTGTCACTGTGGCTGTCACTATTACTACTGTTGTTGTTGTTTCCTGTCACTTCTTGCTGTCACTATTACTACTGTTGTTGTTGTTCCTCTCCTTCTTCCTGTCACTATGGCTGTCACTATTACTACTGTTGTTGTTGTTCCTCTCCTTCTTCCTGTCACTATGGCTGTCACTATTACTACTGTTGTTGTTGTTCCTCCTTCTTCTGTCCTGTCGCTGTCACTATTACTACTGTTGTTGTTGTTCCTTCCTTCTTCCTGTCACTATGTTGTCACTTGTTCTACTGTTGTTGTTCCTCTCCTTCTTCCTGTCCTATCGGCTGTCACTATTACTACTGTTGTTGTTTCCTCTCCTTCTTCCTGTCCTATGTCATTGTCCTTCTTCTATTGTTCTTCCTTCTTTGTCTTTGTTGTCCTCCTTCTTACTACTGTCCTGTTGCTGTTCCTCTCCTTCCTCCTGTCACTATGTGTTCTGTCACTATTTACTGTTGTTTGTTCCTTCCTTCCTTCTTCCTGTCACTGTCACTATTACTACTGTTGTTGTTTTCCTCTCCTTCTTCCTGCTGTCACTGTCACTATTACTACTGTTCTATGTTGTTGTTCCCCTCCTTCTTCCTGTCACTGTGGCTGTCACTATTACTACTGTTGTTGTTCCTCCTTCTTCCTGTCACTGTGGCTTGTCACTATTACTACTGTTGTTGTTCCTCCTCTTCTTCCTGTCACTATGGCTGTCACTCCACTACTGTTGTTGCTCCTCCTTCTTCCTGTCACTGTGGACTATTACTACTGTTGTTGTTCCTCTCCTTCTTCCTGTCACTGTGGCTGTCACTATTACTACTGTTGTTGTTGTTCCTCTACTTCTGTTTCCTGTCACTGTGGCTGTCACTGTATCACTACTGTTGTTGTTTTTCCTCTTCTTCTTCCTGTCACTATGGTCACTTACATTACTTGTCCTTCCTGTCACTGTGTGTTGTTGTTCCTCTCCTTCTTCCTTTGTCTGTCACTTCCTCTCCTTACTACTGTTGTTGTTGTCTCTTTCTCTCCCATTCTGTCCCTGTCACCATGGCTGTCACTTTACTTACTGTCACTGAAGGAGAAAGAGGAGGAGGAGGAGGAGGAAGGAGGAAAGAGGAGAGAGGAGGAGGAGGAAGAGGAGGAGAGGAAAGGAGAGAGGAGGAGAAAGAGGAGGAGGAGAAAGAGGAGAGGAGAGAGGAGGAAAGGATGGAGGAAAGAAGGAAGGAAGAGAAAGGAGAGAGAGGAGGAGAGGAGGAGGAGGAAAGAGGAGGAAAGAGGAAGGAGGAAAGAGAGGAGGAAGAGGAGGAGGAAAGAGGAGAGAAGAGGAAAGAGAGAGAGGAGGAGGAAAGAGAGGAAGAGAGGAAAGAGGAGAAGAGAGAGGAGAAAGAGGAGGAGGAAAGAGGAGGAGGAGAGGAGAGGAGAGGAGGAGAGGAGGAAGGAGGAAAGGAGGAGGAGGAGGAAGGAAGGAGGAAGGAGGAAAGGAGGAGGAGGAAAGATGAGAGAGGAGGAAAGGAAAGAGAGGAGGAAATGAGAGAGGAGGAGGAGGAAGAGAGGAGGAGGAGAGGAAAGAGGAGGAAGGAGGAGGAGGAGGAGGAGGAAAGAGGAAAGAGAGAGGAGGAAAGGAGAGGAGGAAGGAAAGAGGAGGAGGAGGAAGGAGGAGAGGAGAGGAGAGAAAGGAGAGGAAAGAAAGGAGAGAGAGAGGGAGAGAGGAGAGAGGAGGAGGAGGAGGAAGAGGAAGGAGGAGAGGAGGAAAGGAGAGAGGAGAGGAGAGGAGAGAGGAGAGGAAAGAGGAGAGGGAGAGAGGAGAGGAAAGGAGAGGAGGAGAGGAGGAAGGAGAGAGAGGAGGAAAGAGAGCCTCTCCTTCTTCCTGTCACTGTATTGTTGTCACTATTACTACTGTTGTTGTTGTTCCTCTCCTTCTTCCTGTCACTGTCGCTGTCACTACTACTGTTGTTGTTGTTCCTCTCCTTCTTCCTGTCACTATAGCTGTCACTATTACTACTGTTGTTGTTGTTCCTCTCCTTCTTCCTGTCACTATGGCTGTCACTATTACTACTGTTGTTGTTGTTCCTCCCTTCTTCCTGTCACTATGGCTGTCACTATTACTACTGTTGTTGTTGTTTTTCTCTCCTTCTTCCTGTCACTGTGGCTGTCACTATTACTACTGTTGTTGTTGTTCCCTCCTCCTTCTTCCTGTCACTATGGCTGTCACTATTACTACTGATGTTGTTGTTCCTCTCCTTCTTCCTGTCACTATTACTACTGTTGTTGTTGTCTCCTTCTTCCTGTCCACTATTACTACTAGTGTTGTTTCTTTCCCTGTCACTATGGCTGTCACTATTACTACTGTTGTTGTTGTTCCCTCCTTCTTCCTGTCACTATGGCTGTCACTATTACTACTGTTGTTGTTGTTCCTCCTCCTTCTTCCTGTCACTGTGGCTGTCACTATTACTACTGTTGTTGTTGTTCCTCTCCAATCTTCCTGTCACTGTGGCTGTCACTATTACTACTGTTGTTGTTGTTCCTCTCCTTCTTCCTGTCACTGTGGCTGTCACTATTACTACTGATGTTGTTGTTCCTCTACTTCTTCCTGTCACTATTACTACTGTTGTTGTTGTTCCTCCCCTTCTTCCTGTCACTGTGGCTGTCACTACTACTACTGTTGTTGTTACAGTCGGGGTTGATTGCTGGTAACACCATCCAGTACACCTTGATGGGCCTGCAGGAGGAGCAGGATTATGTCATCTATGTGACAGCTATTGGGCAGCATGGGTCCAGTCAGCCATCAGAAAGACTGGTGACCATGACCATCACTGGTGAGCTTTGAGTCAATACACTCAGGAAGGATGGAGTCCACTATTCTTCCAGTCTCTCCTATGTTAACTTTAAATGATACTGTCAAGGATCATATCTTTGTGTTGTATTTCTTTATTCCTGTTTTGACTTTAAGAATTATCACAGTGTGTGAAGCCCATTGATGCTTAGAGAATCTCACCCATTTGTCTTTCAATATCAAATATATCAACAGTGTTCACACCAGTTAAAGACTTCAAGCCTTGTGAATGATTTCAAAGTTTTAGTGTCAGGTGTTGATATTTTTTATATCAAGAGACACAAGGATGACATTCTGTTCATCATATATTATGCTAATATTTGTATAGCGCCAATATCCAGCTCAGCTGCTCGAAGACCCATTATTCCAACTTTTCCAGTTAGTAAACAGTAATAATCTTTGCCTGGAGAATAAAAGATAAATCTAACCAGCTTTAGTAACAGAGGGATGATGTCATTTGTTTTTGTCATCATAATGACCAGTCACATTACAATAGTCTTATTGAGGTGTATTTCTATTGTGACTTACCAGTGAGAGACAAATCATATGACACCAAATATGCTCAGCTCATCGGGAACTGATATCATTCGTTACATTCCCTGTTGACAGGTAGAAACAATGCCAACCAGTCTGCTGATATTGATGGTAAGTAAAGTGAAGTGATTTTTTAGTATTTCAGGCATTCAGCAATTATAGTCATTATACAAAGAGTACATGCCAAGGTTTATTGTATTCAAGGCATCCAGTCATTATACAAAGAGTACATGCCAAGGTTTATTGTATTCAAGGCATCCAGTCATTATACAAAGAGTACATGCCAAGGTTTATTGTATTCAAGGCATCCAGTCATTATACAAAGAATACATGCATCAGTCATTATACAAAGAGTTTATTTATTGTATTCAAGGCATCCCGTCATTATACAAAGAGTACATGCCAAGGTTTATTGTATTCAAGGCATCCAGTCATTATACAAAGAAGTACATGCCAAGGTTTATTGTATTTGTATTCAAGGCATCCAGTCATTATACAAAGAGTACATGCCAAGGTTTATTGTATTCAAGGCATCCAGTCATTATACAAAGAGTACATGCCAAGGTTTATTGTATTCAAGGCATCCAGCCATTATACAAAGAGTACATGCCAAGGTTTATTGTATTCAAGGCATATAGCCATTATACAAGAGTACATGCCAAGGTTTATTGTATTCAAGGCATATAGCGATTATACAAGAGTGCATGCCAAGGTTTATTGTATTCAAGGCATCCAGTCATTATACAAGAGTGCATGCCAAGGTTTATTGTATTCAAGGCATCCAGTCATTATACAAAGAGTACATGCCAAGGTTTATTGTATTCAAGGCATCCAGTCATTATACAAGAGTACATGCCAAGGTTTATTGTATTCAAGGCATATAGCCATTATACAAAGAGTACAGCCAAGGTTTATATTCAAGGCATCCAGATTATACAAAGAGTACATGCCAAGGTTTATTGTATTCAAGGCATCCATTCATTTATTGTATTCAAGGCATCCAGTCATTATACAAAGAGTACATGCCAAGGTTTATTGTATTCAAGGCATATAGCCATTATACAAAGAGTACATGCCAAGGTTTATTGTATTCAAGGCATCCAGTCATTATACAAGAGTTCATGCCAAGGTTTATTGTATTCAAGGCAGCTGGCCATGTACAAAAGTTACAGTTTCCCAGACCATATATATACCATGTATGGGTTACATACATGGGTTTATTAAGCAAGACATATAACATTATCTGTCTTGAAAACTTTGGGTCATTGCGGTGGCCTAGTGGTTAAAGCATTCGCTCATTATGCCAAAGATGCGGTGTTCAATTCACCTGATGAGTACAATATGTGAAGCCCATGTCTAGAGTCCCCTGCCATGATATAGTCGGAATATTGCTAAAAGTGGCATAACCATACTCTCACACTCTTGAAAATTCTACTCAGTAGGATGTACAAGCCATAATACCAGTTTATTGCATCAGACTGATCACTGGATGGCCACATCTGGACAAATGAATAAAAATGGCAGCCTTGTTACAGGGTAGTTATCAGCAGGCATATTCCATAATCTTGACAAGTTTAGGATTGCTATGGGTGACCTGACATGGAGAATTGTAATTGTAATAAAACCCAGTTCGTACTCACAGAAACACACCTAATTCTGTCTGTATCACTGACACAGTGAATTTACTGTTATAAATAACATTCCTACAGCAAAACTAATTCAGATAATGTGACCATTGGACCAGGTGGTTTGAAATCAGTTGACATCCGTGAAGTTGTTATTGATGGGGAAATGTTTGTTCCAGCTTGTTGCCAGAGACGTGGTGTCTCGCCATACTGTCAGGTCAAACTCTGTCAATCCTCCTCCTGGAGAAGACTGAATCCAGACTCAGTCTCCAGCTGTTACTCTCAGCTTGATGACATCTTCCAATGTCTGGCAGGTAGGTCTGATCACATAACACATGCTGATATCTCTGCTGGAATTGGCTGTTATATTTATCCAGTGGATGGAAGCTTTTTATAATAATGGATTTCTATGGTGCCTGGTATCCAACTTGAAACTGTTCAACGGCACATCACAAAGCTTTGTGCACAAGGTCAATGAAAATTAAAAACCATCCTTACCCTTTCTTAAATTTCACAAGACAAAATGAGTATTTCATTGTTACATTGTTTGTGTTTCAGGAGGGCGTAACCACACCCTATGCTGTATGAACAATAACGTCCCAGAAACATGTCTTGGACTCTGTAGTGGGTCAACCCCACCCCTCAGCTGGAATCACACCCAATGTGTCCTCTCTATGCCCATCATAAATGCCTGTGTACTTCAAGGATTCAGTAAGTACTCCCACCTTCGTATCCACCCCTCAACCCAACCTTCAGCCCCACCCCTCACCAGCACTCCTCTCCCCCACCACTCACATGGGTTCACACCCAGTGTGTCTTCTCTATGCACATGATAGGCTGTCTGTGTTCAGCAGGGATACAGTAAGTACCCCCACCCCTCTCCCCTATGCCTATCCCTCACCCCTACCCACCACCACCACCCCTAACCTGTTTTGTCCTCCATATGCACATAGATGCTAATGTTTGGCTAAACTGTAGTACAATCGACAACGACCGAAGGGATGGTGTAAAAGCAGCTAGGGTCCATGCAGGTAGCAAAAGCATGGTCCCATGGTCCCTAGTATGGTGATCTACCTTCAGTTGTTGGTGACCCATAGCCCATTTTTGTATTGTACTGTTAAAAATAGAAATAGTGTTTTATGGTTATATGCTAGTTATAAGTATATATGTGTAATAGACTAGTTATTTTACTGCCCTTTGCAGACAGGTAAGTATATAAGTTTGTTTTTAATTCATTTATACATGTACAAATTTACAACATTCATAGTGACAATATGGTTGAAATACTGCCGACGTGACTTTAAATTTTAACTCGCTCATTCACATCATAGTGCATGTGTACAGCAGAGATACAGTAAATTCTTTTCCCCACCCTCAACTGGAACCACACCCTTTGTGTCCTTCACATGCACATCTTAGACATCAGGGCTACATTGGGTTCGATTCCTGTCCTCTGTCATGTGACATTACTGATGAAGCCAAACTTTGTTCATATCAGTAAGGTGTGTCAACAAAATCAGATGTTTTGAGCAAAGACAGACTATTATTTTTATCCTCCATGAAAGGACAAGTACTATCCATGAGATGAGTTACTAACTGTCAGAAATATCGCATCTTAAATGTCAGGGCTGCCGATAAATATGTAAGTCTGACCCAGACAAACCACAGGTTGCTATTATGAACATCAATCCTTGCAAGGTAAGGCAAGCATGGAGAAATGACTTCAAAAGAAAGTATCAATCATTCCATGTGCCTCGCTGCAGGTAACTTACCTGGTGCTCCTCACACTGTGGCCTTGAAGTCTGTGACAACTTCAGACGCTGAACTGGAGTGGTCTGCCCCTACTGGGTCAGCTGCTGTTAAGGGTTACCTGGTCCAGACAAAAGAAATAGGAGTAGAAGCTGACTTTGGTCATACGGTAAGAAATCATCTATGTCATGGAGAGCAGTTATTTGTGTATAAAGTTCATAAGTTCTTGTACTTACCTCCAAATTCTTAAAGGAGCATACAAACGCCCACAAAATATTCCATATGAGTAAAAGCATTCTAATAGACACTTTTCAATAATATAAAATTGAACAAAAAGCTTGAAAAATCTCAATAAACACGTAAAATATGCACTCGTATTTCCGCTTATTATGGAAACACCCGAACAGTTAATGAGCAGTAGTGGGTATCATGTGACATGACGTCATATGTGCCTATTGCTGATGGCTTCCTCTTTGATTTTACCTGACAACTTGACTGTGAGTGCCCATGGATTCTGAAGCCATAGTAGATGTTCCTGATGTCATTTTTTTACATGGATTTTAGACCATATCAATACCAGCCGATTTTAGATCTTGCAAGAGAAACTTCCAGTGAAAATAAAGAAGAATCAAGCAAAACGGATACACCACTTGATGTCAAAACAATTTCTAAACTAGGCAATATAATTTGTCAGCAGTGTATTATACATTTGCAACCAGCACACCCACCCCTATAATAAATTGCCAATCCCTAAGAAAATATTTTCTTTTAAATGTGTTTGCAGTTCCTTTTGTGTTAAACGGGTTACTGCAGGGAATCTCGGATTTCTTTTTTAAAGAAGGTGCATATTGATTGTCCCAGAAAATGTGTTGAAAAATGATTATGCTTCAGACTTGAGAAAACAGAATTTGGATTAAAATAGATTATGGAATGCATAAGTGGATTAAAATTTAACTAAATATCAGATGGGTGTATACAGACTTTGCTTTTTCGATGCCCATTTCTTGTGTTCTGTGATATAATATTTCTTCAATATTGCAAAACTATTTAAGCCCATTTCTTCTGTTCTTTGATATAATGTTTCTTCAATATTGAAAAAAACAGCATAAAACCATACACATTAACTTTCAGATGGAGGTCTCACAAAGGGTAGTGCAATTAATCAACCTTAAAGCAAACACAGAATACGCAGCACGGGTCATTGCTGTCGGCGAAACTTACAGCAGCCTCCCATCAGAGACTGTAGTTTTCACCACTTACTCAGGTAAGATCAGGAAATAGACTCTTACATCAGTTTGTTGACATATTTTGATTGACAAATTTGTAATCTTTTTGTATTTATACTAATAGATTTTTAGAAATGTTTCAGGACACTGATAAAAACTTAAGTACTATTGTTCGAAAGAGATTGCTTGTGTGGTATTTTGTCTTAAAGTTATCCTAAGTACTTCATGTGCTCATTCACTTCATGTTTTTGTCTTTCAGTTGCCCCAACACCTGATACAAGCATTGCTACAATACACAATTTTTCTGGTAACAACATCTTCTGGTTCTTTAACTCGACCTAACTATCAAATCTAACATGCACAAAATTTAAACCAGTCATTGTAATTTTGCATGTTAAACAGTATGTTTTAGTCTAAACATATTGTCACTACTAACAGATAAAATCTGTCCTTCTGTAAATGATTAATACAGAATATGTAAACTGTTTGTTGTTACTATAGCAATATGAAACTTTTTCCACATGACACTAATGTTAAAATGTGTCCGCTAGATGTGTACATTCATGTATTTAGGAAATATGAAATAGGAGCTATCAAGCATCTTTTCAGAAAAACACTCCTCATTAAATCATATCTTTAAACAATGTGAATTCTCACCATATCAGCTTGCTGCATCGACAGCAACGTCCAGTCCACCTGCCAGCCTGCTTGCACCTATGACACCAGATCAGTCCTTGACTTCTATAGGCAAACTGACAAAGCTCTGGCTTGCATTGGGTCTCTGAAGACAATTCTCACCTGTGCCTCAGGTAGGTTAAATACTTACACTACAATGTTGTGAGAGATAGAAGTAGGAGAGGTTGCAATACTTAAACTGGAACATATATATTGTCATGTCACCTCATAGTCACCTGTGTGTGAGTGGCATATTAATGTTAAACATGGTGGTTTAATGATTGTTTAATCCTCGCGATAATTCTTTGCAGTAGTGCAATCTTGCAGTTAAAGAGTGAGCTCATTATGTCAAAGAGTTCTATTCTCAACAATTCTGCAGCCAATTCTTGGTGACCCAACTGTGAAACAGCTAGAATAAGACTCACTCACATGCATTTTCTGCTGCATGTCTCTAATTACACATTAGTTTGTGAACCTTTAACTTTTCATTCCCGATCCATGTAAAAGTGACATGAAAGTGTCTATTCTTTATCATTTCAAAGTTTAGTGAGCTATAGACCTGTAAGTATTTTTCTGCCTTGTATTTGTTTGAGGATTGTTCATAAAGATTGTGTTTGCTTGCTCCAGATGGTCGGGACCACCGGAGCTGTTGTAGACAGCGTTATGTGCCTGAGGGGTGTCAAATGTTCTGTAACTTCACCGACTCCTCACCGTCTTTGGATGTCAGCCACGTGACATGTCTGGCTGAGATGGAAGACATCATCCAGTGTTACACCGAGGGAGTGTGTGAGTCACTGTTTAAACTGAATGGAATGCTGGGATGCCAGTTTCTTGTTAACCATCCTTGTTGGCACCAGCCCGAACACAGCTTAAGCTATATGAAATCCCTGAAGAACTACTCAGGGCAAAACTGGAGTTTTAAGTAAAATGCTTTTAAAAGACTTAAAAACAGAAACCAACTAATGTAGCTGGAATATTGCTGCACTGATCAACTCAAATATACTTTGTTCAAAACAGGACAAGGATTACAGTAAGAATTTATTTACTTACCCAGAGTATCACAACCCTCACACCTGTCACAACAATCACACTCTGTGCACACACATGCATGCACGCACGCGCACACACACACAGACCTCTACATGATTGTCGTCAGCAACCCATGCTTGTCGTAAGAGGTGGCTAACAGGATCGGGTGATCAGGCTTACTGACTTGGTTGACACAATCTTATCATCGTATCCCAATTGCGTAGATCGATGCTCAGGATGTTGATCACTGGATTGTCTGGTCCAGACTCGATTCTTTACTGTCCACCGCCACACAGCTGGAATATTGCTGAGCATAGCATTAAACAACCAACCATCTGACTGACCACTGTACTACTTCAGTCCATCGACTAACCACCTCTTCAGTCCATCGACTAACCACCTCTTCAGTCCAGTGTTAGAATATCGCTCTTATCCTTATCATTTAGATGTAGTGGACCACATGACTATCTGATCTAAGACAACTGGCCTTGTTTTTTGTCGTGACTGTGTATCATCTGATGTTACAGTATACCTTCCCAAGCATCCTGTGAATGTGGAAGTTGTCAACAAGACTCAACATACGGTGATTGTGGCATGGGAGAGGGCTGCGACTGGACCCAGTGTTGACTACTACACTGTCGCCTACACACCTGACCTCCTCACGTGGACCAGGGTAAGTGCTGACTCACTCAAGTGTCTTCATGTTAGTGGTTGGGGTGTCCTCTGTTCATGGAGCTCTTTCCATGTAGCTCTATCCATGTTAATGTTCTGGTGTCGCTAGGTCCTTCTGCTCATGTTAAAGTACCAAATTCTGTTTTGTTAATCAGAGTCATACCATTCCAATAACCACCTCTTATTGGAATATCTTGTCTTATGGGGGAGGTAGGGTAGCCTAATGGTTAAAGTGTTCACATGTCATGCCGAAGACCTGGGATCAATTCCCCACATGGGTACAATGTGTGAAACCAATTTCTGGTGTCCCCTGCCATGATATTGCTGAAAGCGGCATAAAACCACACTCACACACTCACTCTTATGTTATGGCTTCGGGGCGGCGGAGTAGCCTAGTGGTTAAAGCGTTGGCTTGTCACGCCGAATCCCCGGGTTGGATTCCCCACATGGGCACAATGTGTGAAGCCCATTTCTGGTGTCCCCCGCCGTGATATTGCTGGAATATTGCTAAAAGCGGCGTAAAACTAAACTCAGTCAGTCAATCAGTCTTATGGCTTCATCACCACATCTCACATTGTCAATGTCAGTAAGCATTTTTTAAATGTTTTTATGTCTGATTACAGGCTTCAAATTCAGAGTTGTGATTACTTAAAGATTCAAAGTATATGACATTACATTTTGGACAGAAAAATGATAAAGATTGACAAAGAGTATGTATTTCAAATTCTGAGTTCAAAAGTGCTTGAAATTTGGCTGTTTTGTATATCTGACTGCAATGTTATTCTTTGGTGTCACAATGAGAAAAGTATCACCATTATCTGCAGATGGCTATCGTCTGGCTGGAATGTTGATGAGTGCACTGTTGTACAAAATACAAACATACTAGCTCATGGACCAAAGCCATAAGCTGCTAATCCCAATTAGGGTTCAGGGTCAATTTTGAGAGTATTCATGTCTCTCAAGCATATGTGTCATTCTTTCTGCATACGGTAAAAACATTCACTTTCAGGAAAATGTTACATCGACTTCATATATCCTGCAAAACCTTGACCCTGGCACCATGTACACAATAGAGATTATCTCCGTCAACAGCAATGGCACCAGCCCCCCCAGCAACAGGGTCAGCGTTTACACTGACACAGGAGGTAAAATATTATGGGTTGATCATTGTAAGTTCCAATGGTGACACTGTTCATTGTGGAAACATTTTTGGTTCAATTCTTCCTTCAGAGGCAGATCCACAGTTTTGTATGTGATGCGTAATTCCTGAGTATTTAACACACAATTTCTTGAAATCCTATAAAAAATGTTGTTGATCAGAGTCATAACTGATGCAGTTCAGTCAATGAATAAATTTAGGTTGGTCAAGAGTTGTATGAAATATAGTCACTGTTACATTGTTTATATACTGAAACAAATAAAGGATCACAGGAAAATTCAAGCGTTCCATTGATATTTGCCAGTTTTCATCACCAGCTTTAAATAGCTCTGGGGTGGTGGGGAAGCCTAATGGTTAAAGCATTGGCTCGTCACGCCGAAGACCCGGGTTCGAATCCCCACATGCGTACAATGTGTGAAGCCCATTTCTGGTGTCCCCTGCTGTGATGTTGCTGGAATATTGCTAAAAGCGGCATAAAACCAGACTCAGTCAGTCAGTTGAATAGCGCTGTGGTGCTGAAAACTGGAAAATAATAAAGGAACGCTTGAATTTTCCTGTGATCCTTTATTTATTTCTCTCAGTATAATATGACTACAATTTTTAAGTCATCCTTTAAATTTGAATCTGTAGGTACTCTAGGCTCATATGAACTAATCTGTAATTTCTGAAATGACGTTTTTCCAAATTTTGATTGTGTGTCACAGTGCCTTGATGATAGGGCCGTCGCTCATAATGTCAATCACTGGATGTTTCTGGTCTAAATAATTTACAGGGGCGGTGGGGTAGCCTAGTGGTTAAAGCGTTCACTCGTCACAACGAAGACACAGGTTCAATTCCCCACATGGGAACAATGTGTGAAGCCCATTTCTGGTGTCCCCAACCGGGATATTGCTGGAATATTGCTAAAAGCGGCATAAAACCAAACTCACTTACTCACTCAATAATTTACAGTCTGCCATCATATAACAGGAATATTGCTTAAGGGAGGTTTTAACAACAAACACACTGAAAGCTCTTGTGTATTGAAATAAGCAATTTAAGACTCTGTAAGACCTAGGGAGCAAAGTGAGTCAACCTTATGCTTGTGTTGAAGTAGATGGTTTGTAACTAGATTTGTGAGGATGCAGCAGTATTACTATGGATATGTCTGACCATTGATGTAACCTTAGCCTGTCTGTTTTGTAGCAGTCCTCCCTCCCCTGGTCATTAATGGCACGGTTGTTGATGGAAGAGTCATCTGGAAAGATAAAATAGGTAACGTGTATATTTCATCAAATATTCAAAATCTCTGTCAGCAAACTTACAAAGACATGTGGACCAACATATGTACCTAGCTATCCAACCTGGAGGTGATTCAGGGTGGAACTGGTCCCCAGTAACCCATGCTAATAAACTGAATCAATTGGGGTGTCACGTTCAGTGTCACATTATGTGGTGTCAGTGTGCCATGAATGTATGGTTCAGTGTTCAATCTGGGAATAATGTAGAGGCAAATATGTGTTGCAATCTGGGAATAATGCAGTGGCATGATTGTGTTGCAATCTAGGGAAAGTAAAGTGGCATGTATGTGTTACATTCTAGAAATAGTGAAGTGAGATATATGTGTTATCACTTTGGAATAATGTAGCGGCTTGTATGTGTTGCATTCTAGAAATAGTGAAGTGGAATATATGTGTTATCACCTAGGAATAATGTAGTGGCACGTGTTTCAGTCAAGGAATCATGAAATGGCATATGTGTTAACACCTATGAATAATGTAGTGGCATGTATGTGTTGCATTCTAGAAATAGGGAAGTGGGATATATGTGTGTTAACACCTATGAATAATGTAGTGGCATGTATGTGTTGCATTCTAGAAATAGTGAAGTGGGATATATGTGTTAACCCCTAGGAATAATGTAGTGGCATGTATGTGTTACATTCTAGAAATAGTGAAGTGAGATGTATGTGTTATCACCTAGGAATAATGTAGTGGCATGTATGTGTAACCGTCAAGGAATAGTGAAGTGGGATATATGTGTTAACACCAAGGAATAATGTAGTGGCACGTATGTGCTATGGTCAAGGAATTGTGAAGGAGCATCTGTGTGTTAACCCTTAGGAATAATGTAGTGTCAAATGTGTAACAGTCAAGGAATAGTGAAGTGGGATATATGTGTTAACACCTAGGAATAATGTAGTGGCACATGTGTTTCAGTCAAGGAATCATGAAATGGCATATGTGTTGACACCAAGGAAGAATGTAGTGGCATGTATGTTACCATAAAGCAATCCTCCTTTCATGTATGTTACCATAAAGCAATCCTCCTTTTATGTATGTTACCATAAAGCAATCCTCCTTGTATGTATGTTACCATAAAGCAATCCTCCTTTTATGTATGTTACCATAAAGCAATCCTCCTTTTATGCATGTTACCATAAAGCAATCCTCCTTTTATGCATGTTACCATAAAGCAATCCTCCTTTTATGCATGTTACCATAAAGCAATCCTCCTTTCATGTATGTTACCATAAAGCAATCCTCCTTTTATGCATGTTACCATAAAGCAATCCTCCTTTTATGCATGTTACCATAAAGCAATCCTCCTTTCATGTATGTTACCATAAAGCAATCCTCCTTTCATGTTGTTACATAAAGCAATCCTCCTTTCATGTATGTTACCATAAAGCAATCCTCCTTTATGCATGTTACCATAAAGCAATCCTCCTTTTATGCATGTTACCATAAAGCAATCCTCCTTTCATGTATGTTACCATAAAGCAATCCTCCTTTCATGTATGTTACCATAAAGCAATCCTCCTTTCATGTATGTTACCATAAAGCAATCCTCCTTTTATGCATGTTACCATAAAGCAATCCTCCTTTCATGTATGTTACCATAAAGCAATCCTCCTTTGTCTTTTCAGACTGTTGTTTGGGGAACAACATATCAGCGCCATGCCTGGGTCTCTGTACCGGCACAGCCCGTGACACACATGAAATGTGTTTAGACGATGTCGCTGTCATACTTGCATGTGCCTCAGGTATGTAGAGATTTCATATGCCACAGGTATGTAGAAATTGCATCAGGTATGTAGAGATTTCACATGCCACAGGTATGTAGAAATTGCATCAGGTATGTAGAGTGCCTCAGGTATGTAGGGATTTCATATGCCACAGGTATGAAGAAATTGCATGTGCATCTGATATTTTCTCTGTATAATTCAGACACTTGTCTCCTGTCACCGGTGGGTAGCCATGTTCCATTTGGGACCCATCCAACCTGTGTAGCCGACCTACCTGCCCCATCCCCTACTTGTTTCTTTTAATCAATGTATTCTGTACATATTTTATTTCATGTTCTGACTGTAAAACACTGATTAGTCACACTATGCATGATCGTCTACACTTACTCTGACTTGGTAGGGGAGTAATATTTTATGTTTGTTTCTTGTTTAACATCACACTGAGCAATATTCCAGCTATATGGTTGTGGTCTGAAAATAATCAAATCTGGACCAGTCAATCCAGGGATCAACATCATGAGCATCGATCTATAGCATTTGGGATATGATGACGTATCAACCAAGTCACCTGATCCTGTTTTCATTATCAGTATAAGTGTTCCAGATGGCAGGGATCATCGGCCATGTTGTCAACAGATTGGGGTTCCAGCTGCTTGTCTGTCCTTCTGTCAAGGTCATATAACCGGGAAGAACTTTGTGACTGCTGCATGCATTGCTTGGACCAGTCACATTACAGGCTGTACCTTGGATGGAGCAAGTAAGAAATATACCATATGGGCATGAAAGTTTTGTTTGTGCAAAATGTAGAATTGAAATTCTCCATAACATGTAATCAGAGGTTACAGGGGGCCCAGCGGTCTATGGTTTGTAAGGTTCAAATGGTTTCATCCCTCCCTGTATAGCATTCTGTCACTAATTCCATGGATGTATTTGTGGTCATACCCATAAAGTGGACTTTTTTACTCACCGTACTGATGGTTAAAAATATTCAAAGTGATCTTTCCATGGGCATGCCAGAAACCAGTGATTGTGAGTTGATTGTAGTTTTTTTAGCACCAGTATCTTGGGTTTCACCAAGGCAGTAGTAGTCTGAAACCTGAATCACCTTGAACTTTCCTGCTACATTAGGCTGACATGCCACGATGTACCTGCAGTATTCTTCACAGTGTACCCAGTTAAACCAAACTCACCCATTCAAAGTGATCTTAAATGCGAACTCCTTAAGTTAGATGTAAATTTATTTCCCCTGATTGTATTCAACTTTAACAAGTTTCATAAAAAGTTAAACCTGTCAGGGGTTTATTATTTTTCCTTATCCTGACTCATGCTAATTATGCTTGTCTCCTTCCTCTTGCGAATGATAGTGTAACACTTGAAATCCCTTGAAGTTCCCTTTAAAAAACGGACGTAAAATCACTCACCCAAGAGTAGCGTCCCTTTCCTCCCTTTGGCGCCCACATGGTCACATGATCGGCCATATTTGTCACTCTCTCCTTCTTCGCCCTTGAGGACGGTTGTGAGAGCACCTGGGTCCCTATACGGCACATATCCTTTTATGTTTTCGGACCTTACATCAAAATTATTGCTGTTTAGGTTTTTAGGATTATATTCTACATTACGGTTTGAAATTTGTTCTAAATTTTCCATTGTTTGACATGTGTTTTCTTCATGTTTACAATTGATGAAAACTTGTATTCGTTGTAGGTACCAAGTGTTTTCGGCTGACCCTCATTTATTATGTCCTAATTGCACTGTTTCATGTTCTTTCAGCTCTCACTGTAAGTATTGTGTAAAATTAAATTCGGTTGAATTTAATAATTACCTTTTTTCCATCCATAGACGTGCTAAGGACTGGGTACGTAGGTATTCACAAGTCATGTCTAAATCAAGTGATTGCGCTGATAACCATGTGTCAACCACTGCTGCAGATATTCATAATTCTAGTCAATTGCTGAACGTTTCTCAGGAGCAGGTCGATGTACCAGGGGTGAACGCCGGAGGCCATAAGAGATCATCATCTACTGAGCTGACCTCATCGCAGATGAAGAAGGCCAAATCTTCATCTTTGCAGAAGAAGAACGCTATTACCATGAAGACTTCAGCGAAGTCTAAGATCAGCTCTACACAGAAGACGAGGTCTTTCTCAGCCAAAAGGGTTTCTCCGGAAGAAGCAGATGTTTATGATGATCCACCCATCCTCATACCTGAAGTCACCATCGTCAGTCAGAAGACGAAGCCTGCTTCTACAGCTACATCGACATTGGTATCAGCGCAGACATTGACAGAAGACCTACTATCAACACAGACATCGGATACCAGAGATAGCAGCAGCATCAACTCTTCACAAGTGCAGCGAGCCTTAGATGAAGTCTCTTCAGTATCAGATGCATCATCCCTGCAGCAGTCTCTTCAGACAACGCAGAACTTCAACCTGGGACTGTTCATGCAACAGTTTACAGACCAGATGATGTCGATGATGGAACGTCGCTACGCTCAAGAGAAGCCTGCGATGAAGACCGCTACAACGTCTACTAGCCTGCGTGAAGGCTCTACAGTCTCCCCACCACATCTGGATGAAGATGGAAGCCTGCACGAATGCTCTTGGACACGACAATCTTCCCCAGAGAGTGCTGCTAAGAAGTCTCCACGCAGGAAGGAATCAAGGCATTCTCCCGAACCCTACAGATGTCGCAGATATGAATCGTCATTTTCATGGGACTCTGACGCCCATCAAGAGCCTGCCCGAAGGCACTCCTACAGAGGGGAAGCTACGTCTAGGAATCCACCTTTGCGAAGGTCTAGAGAATTATCTCAAGCCTCGAGGAAGGATTCAAGATCACATCGGGATCGATCGCCTGCATGAAGCTCATCTTATAGATCATCCTATAGAGACTCAAGTCGTCGTGCATCCTTAGAACGAGAGATGTCTAAATCAGAGGATGAAGGTGAAGGCGTCTTCTCCGATACGGAAATTAACTACTAGATCGCCAATGGCTTGGACTTATCATCACCTTCTAAGGACACAGATGAGGCGTTTACCTACAAGATGTCCAAAGATGATTTCGACACACACACCTTTCCACCAATCAACCCGATCTCTCAAGTACCAGACAACCTCAATGCAGCTTTTGATAAAGCCACCAAGTGGCAGAGTCAGCACATCCCGACATTCAACACCAGGAAACCCTTCCTGAAGGCTCCAGAGGTTGGTGATGACTATAAGATTATCACCGATTCCCATCCAAGAACTTACAAGATTGAGGATAAGAAGTTAGCGCAGCTGGATACAACCACCAGACGTACTTTCTTCGGATTAGCCAGATGAGGGCTATCAACGAAATACTCATCTCGAAGTTCAAGAATTTCTTGGCCGAAGAAGACCGGATGATATACTCCGCTCTACTTATGCAGAAGAGAGACCATCAATTTATGTCGGAGCACCTAGCATCCACCTCAACGGGCTTGACTCTCCTGAGAAGACATGGGTTATTGTCAGCATGCACTTGGAGTGAACGCTTCACCAAGTCTGTATACAGAGCCCCATGGTCAGCATCTTACATCTTCAGGGGAGGAATTGAAGAAGTCGCCAGAGAAGTCTCTCACGACTCTAGGGAAGTTATGATGATTAAATCCATCGACACTTTGGCTAACGTGATTCGTCTGACGTCCCAACGCTACTCCAACAAATCTAAGTTTGCAGGAGTCGAGAGAGCCAGAGAAAAGAAGTATTCCAGTATGAAAGGAGGAAGAGGCTCCTTTCATCGCCCAACCGGAGCTCCAAGAAGTAACCCCAGAAGAGGCCGAGCACCCAGGGGTGCAAGAGGAAGCAAGCATTGAAGGCCAGGTTCGGAACGACTGGAGTCTTCCACCCCCAGCCAATTATGGTACTGGGAGAATTGGGGGATACTACAGGACGACTACGTATCCCAGATACTGCACAGAGGGCACAAGATACAGTTGGAAGCCACTCCGCCACTCACAAGCAACCCGATGGCCTTCAACTACGCAGCCGACCAGATAGAAAAACTGGACAATGCTATCAAGACCCTACTCGACAAAGAGGCAGTAGAAGAGATAGATCAAGATCTCATCACGCCTGGGTTCTACTCCCCAATTTTCCTGGTACCGAAGAAGAATTCCGAGGAGAAATTTCGGCTCATCTACAACATGAGGAAGTTCAACCGGGAGTATCTACGCAGACCAGCAAAATTCAAGATGATACATCTTCCTCAGCTCCGACATCTCGTTCGTCCAGCAGACTGCCTCGCCAGCATAGATCTGCAAGATGCGTACCTCCACATCCCGATACATCCAGACTCAAGGAAATACCTACGTTTCCTTTACAACGGACAGCACTTCCACTGGAAGGTTCTACCGTTTGGAATATCGTCGGCCCCCTGGTTGTTTACTCAAGTGACCAAGCCCATCGTCACATACCTACATCGTCGAGGTCTACGCAGTGCTTTCTACCTGGACGACAGGATTCAAGCTCATCAAGATCCCAGTCAACTCAGACTGCAACTAGACTTCACCATCAGGCTGCTCACTCAACTAGGATGGCTAGTGAATCTCCTCAGGTCAGAACTGGAGCCGAAACAAGATCTGCAATTCCTAGGAATTCGACTCATCACACCAGTGAATCGTATAGCCGTTCCAGAGGATCGTTGGGTCAAAATACAACAGATGATATCTCAAGCATTGCTCTCTCCGTTGACACTACGTGCTTGGCAAAGCATGCTCAGTCTACTCACCTCAGCTCAAGACATGACTCGCAGAGGGAGATTACAGTTGCGCCCACTAAAAGTATTTGTGAACGCCCACCTATAGTCCGTCAACTGAACTTTTGGCACCCTGTTTTTCACAATTTACCTTTTAACATCAAAATGTTTTCGGCATACGCTCTATATATCTATATATATGACCTATCTAAGGTATAAATTTCATAATCTTATGTCAGTTATTAAAGCTTCTGCTTAAGAAGCCATCTTAAAAAAATATGAAAAATAGAAGTAGTTATACAAGGGAGTAAAATGATACGATGGAACAGCGAACAACATGGTGTGACACACGTGCATCTTGTTTACATTGTTACGCCTGCAAGCAAATCTACAGGGACTCTATAATCATCACAAATCCATTTTAAACAAGTAGATTTATTGAAGTCTTTAAATACTGTTTGCTCAATCTCCAAATTTGAGCAACAGCTTGCATATGGTATGCTTTGATACATTGATGTCATGGTCTTCTTTTGAACAATATTTTCTTCAGTTTGCTTGACGATATGGACTCACTGGATCGATTTAACCGATGCATGACGTTCCTCACAACCCTTCTATCGATTTCATCAAGCTATCTTTTCTTTGCATGTTTTGAGACGGTCCCTGATTTAACTGCCATGTCATCGTCATTCTCTGAAATAGTGTCATGGGAGATAACTCTTTGCTATGTTCTTTTGCAGATCTTGGTGGTTTTTTTGGAGAAACACTCAATTGAAAGGGGTTTTTTTCGCTTTGCCTTGCGCTTGAAAAAGTTGTAAACTCTTTTGATGGATGACAGCAAATAAGCTGAAACTGAACGAAGAAAAAACAGAGGTGATGCTGATTGGCACTAAGCAACAGTTGTCCAGAGTAGAAGAACAATCCATTCTGATAGCGGACACGGAAATAGTTCTCAGTGACCACCTTAAAGATCTGGGAGTATTTCTGGACTCACACCTCTCCATGGAGAAACAGGTTACCCACATCAGTAGAACCTGTTATTATCATCTCCGATCCATCAGCAACATTCGACACTTAATAACCGCAGAAGCTGCAAAGGTACTTGCCCATGGTCTAATAACATCAAGACTAGACTACTGCAACAGTTTGCTTCAGGGCATCAGTGGTAAACTGCTATCTAAGCTACAGGTGCTGCAAAATTCTGCTGCACGGGTCATCACAAGAACACCAAGACACGTGCACATGACACCAGTGCTCAGAGACCTCCACTGGTTGCCAGTAAAAGCTAGAATAGAGTTCAAGCTTCTCTGTATCACATATCGATGCCTCCATAACACCAGCCCTGACTATCTATCTGAACTCTTGACTCCACATACTCCAGCACGTAAACTCCGATCAAGTGACCAAAATCTCCTCCAAGTTCCTAAATATCGACTGAAGACATTTGGCTCCAGATCCTTCTCCAGCACTGCCCCTATCCTCTGGAACTCACTTCCATCAGAGTTGAAACTGTGTCCAACTTTTGAGAAATTCAAATCAAGACTAAAGACCCATATGTTCTCCAAGTATCATAGTGACATTTAACTCCACTCAACACTCCCTGACTTTTATCTTTATACATTCCCATTGTAGCACCTTGAGCAGGCATATCTGTCTGGATTGCGCGCATTATAAATGCACATTTATTATTATTATTGATGATTTACCGGTCATCTTTGTACAACATCGTTTTTACCACAACCTGTGTGTTGACAATCTTTGACATCACTTGAGCGTGCTAATGTAAATACCCGTGCATGTACATATCACGCTGACACACACTTTACAATGTTGTTGGCTTTTCCATCACGTGCGTTAACCCCTCGTAAAACTCTCCACAGTTTTACAATTATTATATGACAGGTTTAAAGGCAAAATCTTTAATAATCATTTTAGAATTACTAAAATCGATATCTTGTTAGGTCACAGTATACAATTACCATATGAACAGAGTAGCATTTTAAAATATTCAAGAGTTTTATGTAAATTGTGAAAAACAGGGTGCCAAAACTTAAGTTGACGGACTATAGACAGCCTAGATAAGTTAATACTACCATATGAAACCATATCACCTATTGTGGACTCGGAAGTCGAACGTTTGCGGAGGGAACTTTTTGTCAGAGCCGGTTTTGCAACACTCATCTCTACGTGGATGCCTACAAGGATGGATTGCGCACTTCAACAACAAAGTGGCCGCAGGGAAGTGGTCGAGTCAGGATCAGAATTCACACATCAATCTGTTGGAGTTGAATGCAGTAATCAATGCTTTACAACATTGGTCCAGCGTACTTAAGAACACACGACTCATGGTACACACGGACAACTCCACAGTGGCGTTTTACATCAACAAACAAGGGTCAACAAGATCAACAAGTCTGCTACAACTCAGCTTTCTCCTGTTCAGCATAGTTGACGACCTGAACATCTACATGAAGGCATGCCACATGCCCTATCTCGTCCACTACTACCATCCCCGACGGAATGGATGTTGCATCCAGAAGCATTCCAGTTCATCAGACAGACTTTAGGATCCCCACTAATAGACCTGTTTGCAACAAAGTTCAACAAACAGCTACCAACGTTCGTCTCACCGATTCCAGATCCTCAGGCATGGGCAACAGATGCTCTAAGCATCTCATGGGAAGGATTAAACGCTTACGCGTTTCCGCCTCCTGCACTACTACCACAAGTACTACAGAAAATCAAGCAGACGACTATGTTGCAACTGATTTTGGTCGCGAGGGTATGGTTTCCTGTCCTCATACAAGAACTCGGAAGTCCAACCCTGAAACTACCAGAGTGGTTGAACCTACTCGTCCATCTACACACCAAGCAAGCTCATGGGAACCCGACACTGTTCCAGCTACACGCGTGGAGCGTATTAATGCTTGCTTGAAGACTAGAGGGTACACTAGCTCTACGCAGATCAACTCGCAACTTGTATGACGACAAGTGGCAGAGATTTGAACAATATGCAAAGACGAAAGGCTTTACAGCGGTGAAAGCAACACATCCTCTAGTGGCGGAATACTTACCGGTATGTCATCTACGACAGATGAGACACTTAAAAGGTTCAACACTCTCAACGTACTTAGCTGCCCTCAGTACAGTTATCACCATGAAAACGGGTATCAATCTGACCAAAGTACCAGAGATTCTGGCACTACTATGCTCGTTCAAGTTGGAAGACCAACAAAAGAAATTTAAGGCTCCTGCCTGGGATCTCAACATAGTTTTACAACATCTCACCAGTGATGCCTACAAGCCTCTAGAACGGACATCCTTTGAACTACTAATTCAGAACACGCTGTTCCTGATCGCCCTAGCATCAGCGGCATGGATGGCAGAAATACATGCTCTGGACTTTGAACGATCACGATTTGAATCAAGACATCGTGACATCGTGACATCGTACATCTGGGACTGAGATGGGATTTTATCGCCAAGAACCAACTCCCTGGTCAGCCTGACAGACAGTTCCACATCCCAGCACTATCTACAGTCCTTGGGCCACAGGATACGCAGGATCTATCCTTATGCCCAGTCAGAGTACTTAAAGTCTACTTACAAAGAACTAAAACAAGGAGACGAAAATTCAAGTGCCTATTCATCTCCTTATCCACTGAGACACCCACGGAAGTCTCTAGGACAACGATATCGATATGGATGAGAGCCGTTATACTAAGGGCCTATAAAGCAGCAGGTCTTGAGACTCCACAAGCCTCCAATCCACATGAAGTCAGAGCCCTGGCGTCATATGCTCTGCATGGAAACTGCTCGATTACAACTATAGTGGAGGGCTGCTTTTGGAGATCGAACACAGTGTTTGCCAACCACTACCTCAGAGACATTGCCACTGAAGACGTCTCAGGCATTCTCCAGTTTGGGCCACTTGTTGTAGCACAACAACTAACGGTTCCACAAAGGCGCTGAGAAAATCTCGCCCTTTGTATCACGTGACTTGTGAAAACCAACCCTTAGGGAGAGCAAATGGTTAAAGTCCTTGCACACGTCCAGGACAGACTAGCATGAGTGATAGACCCTGTACTTGTATAGGACATACTCGTACATGAAGAAGGGTCGCATCTCCACTTGATGCGTGCATTAAGAGATGGAGTTACAATAGATAACTAATGGAATATTAGTATATCTAAAATCCACACGAAAATGTCAGGAGAAGTTTCGGAAGAAATCTGACAAGTTGTGGTCCCGCCAGACTCATCAGGGATAGGTTGAAAGAATCTTCAACAGTGCCGTCATAAGTTCCCAACGGGGGGTAATACAGGAGGTAAATCTACAACCAGGGAATCCAGAACGTGGCTTGACCCACCACCGTTTTCGACGGATTCTGCAAGCATAATTAGCATGAGTCAGGACAAGGAAAAATATGTAATTTTCTGATTATAATTGATATTTTATACTTATCCTGACTCATGAGGTTAGCCCTCCCAAACCTCTCTCTTATGGCACTCTGGATTTCCCTGTAAATCCGGGTGTCGGGCTTCCATACGGAGAGAGTGACAAATATGGCCGATCATGTGACCATGTGGGCGCCAAAGGGAGGAAAGGGACGCTACTCTTGGGTGAGTGATTTTACGTCCGCTTTTTTAAAGGGAACTTCAAGGGATTTCAAGTGTTCCACTATCATTCGCAAGAGGAAGGAGACAAGCATAATTAGCATGAGTCAGGATAAGTATAAAATATCAATTTTAGTCAGAAAATTACATAATTTTCCTTATCCTGACTCATACTATTTGAGTCTCTGTCTTTAAACACGAGACATCATGAAAACGTTCTGTCTTATGTTCCCCAAGACAGGAAAAAACCTCACCCAAATGCATCCCTCCACTATGCATGCACACCGGCTCCCCACGTGACCAGCCTTGGCCTTGTCTCTCTCCCAGATTGTTGCGCTACAACAAGAGGATTTCATTGATTAATGCTAGCAACATCTTCTGTAGAGAAATCTCTCAGATGATGGTTGGCAAAGGCAGTATCAGACTTCCAGAAACATCCTTCCCTAATGGATGTGATGGAGCAGTTGCCATTTAGAGTAAAATAATATCTTTACTCTAACAAATACAGTTTTAAGCATTGACACATAAATTAACAGATGTGGTGCCATCGGAACCCCGAAACATGACAGCTGAGCATGTTTCTAGTGGAGTGATAAAGATAACATGGAAACCTTCAGCAGAGAACTGTGACAACAACAGCTGCACCTACAGCGTCCACTACTGGGAAACGATAGCCTACATCAGGGGTGGACCTGAATCCCAAAGCGAAGAGGTTGGTATGATCATATGACACCACATCTCATTCCTCAACCTCCAACACATGTCTATCAACCCTCTTTCTAACCCACCTAGTTGCGAACATATTCACCCACCCATCTCCAAGTTCACTGATTCACCTGCCTGACCAAACCATTCACTCTCACTCACTCACTCACTCACTCACTCACTCACTCACTTGTCCATCTCCAAATTCACCTCACTCACTCAATTGTCCATCTCCAAATTCACCTCACTCACTCAATTGTCCATCTCCAATCTCACTCACACCCGTGAAGGTCCAGGTTAGAATATTGATCTTCAGTAACCCATGCTTGTCGTAAGAGATCGGGTGGTCAGGCTCACTGACTTGCTTGACACATGTCATCAGTTCCCAATTGCACAGATCAATGCTCATGTTGATCACTGGATTGTCTGGTCAAGACTCGATTATTTACAGACCGCCGCCATATATCTGGAATATTGCTGAGTGCGGCGTAAACCTAAACTCACTCACTCACTCAATCTCACTCACCTTCTTACTCACTCACATGTCCACATCCAAACTCACTCACTCACTCACCATCCCACATCTCTTTTACTCACCCATCTGGACTCACCTTGGACCGCCTCTTGTCTACTAGTGCTTCTTCCTCAAGGGCAGATTGGTGGTTTGTATGCTCAAATGGTGCTTATATTTCCCTGGCCATCACTCCACATTACAGGGATTTAAACACTAGTTGCCTCAAAGTGAGCATGCTTGAATAGGGTATACATGTATATATGTAGCAAGGTATCTCTGCTGGCTAGCAATAATTAAGACCTGTACAAACATGCATGCACGTACACATAAATGAATGAATGAACTGTTTATGTGCAATAATCCCCTTCTCAACGTATTGCACCTCACCTCACCTCACCCACAGTCTCACCTTGCCATACCTCATCTCACCTCACTTCACCCACATAGTCTTACCTCACCATACCTCACCTCATCTCACCTCACCCACATAGTCTCACCTCACCATACTTAACCACACCACACCCACATAGTCTCACCTCACCATACCCATCCACTTCACCCACAGTCTCACCTTGCCATACCTCAACTCACCTCATTTCACCCACATAGTCTTAGCTCACCATACCTCACCGCACCTCACCTACATGGTCTCACCTTACCATACCCACCTGACCTCACCCGTCCTCCTTATCACCTACCCAAATGAATATATATATATTTGAACAGGGTAAATGCTGTCCTTGTAACCTTGTGTGAAGTTATTTAGTTTATCACCATCTGATCTTGTCATTTAAGTGTTCATGCATGTATGAAATTGAAGTGTATTATGGCAGTTGATAAGAATTTGCGTCTACGATCTGATATCTTATCCATACATGATTAATGTAATTAGAAAAGTTAAACCCTTTTCTATTCAAAACCTTTTCAAGATGTGTGATTTCTCCATAGGAATCTGTAGTAAAGTTTGAATTTGAAATTATACTAAATAAAAAGCAATGCCTAGATATATGCCTAGACTCTTAATGCAAGAAAAACATCTGTCCAAAATGATATTCTCTATTCCAACCCAGAATGTCCAGAGCCCTTACAACCTGGCGGGCCTACAGAGTAACAAATACTACCGAGTGTCTGTATCAGCACGGAACCAGTATGGTGGCAGTCGGATGGCGCCTGCTCAGACCCTTTTTATGAATGACTTTGGTAATTGTTGCTTTTCTTACACTGATACATTGAGCACATGGCATCTGAACTCTGTAAGTAGCCGTGTATACTATGTTTGTATAACCGCAGAAGATCAATCAATAATTAGCAGTCGAGCTCTCAGTGGAGTTCCTCAGTTTCCTATGATTGTTGTAAATGGATTGGGCAGTGGGGTGGTCTTGTGGTTAAATCATGCTGAAGACCCATGTTCGATTCCCCACATGGGTTTGCTGTCTTAAGTCCATCTCTGCCGTCCCCTTCTGTGATATTGTCTTGGTTCACTGTCTTAAGCCCATCTCTGACGTCCCCTGCTGTGATATTGTCTTGGTTCACTGTCTTAAGCCCATCTCTGATGTCCCCTTCTGTGATATTGTCTTGGTTCACTGTCTTAAGCCCATCTCTGACGTCCCCTGCTGTGATATTGTCTTGGTTCACTGTCTTAAGCCCATGTTTGATTGCTGGGCCTAGATTTTCGAAGCTGTCTTAGCGCTAAGATAGTTGTAAGTTAATGTTAATGTATGGTACTTACGACTATCTTAGCACTAAGAGAGCTTCGAAAATCAAGGCCCTGGAATGTTACTAAGACCTCACTCAGTCATCCTGAAGGAATCAGGTCAGCTTGGTAATCAAGGATGAAATTGTTTCAACTGCAGGAGGCTCACTATTTTAACAGTAAAATGTGGAAGTATCTGATCAAAGCAGTTGATGTGTAATTCTCTGAAAGGTCAACAGCCATGATTTGTTATTACGTTTCAAAAATATCAAAGATGGAGCTGTAGGTTGAAGAAAAATATGTTCAAATTCTTTTCATTTTATTTTATGATCGAGCCTTTCATGATTAACATGACTGAAAGGTTTTCCCTACTCCCTTAACTTTTCAGGAATACAAGACGTGAGCATCAACTTCAGTCCTGAAGGAGTTATAGACCTTGGTAGTCCTGTGAAGATGTTCTGTGATGTCATCGCCAACCCTACGCCCAACATCACCTGGACAAAAGACAGAAAGGTGGTCGGAACTGGAAGGAGGCTGGCTATAATGTCCGTTAAGGAAGCCGACAGTGGCTCGTATACATGTACCGCATCAAATGGGGGTGATTCAAAATCAGTCACAGTTCACTTGCCTGTCAGATGTAAGTTGGAAACAATAAACAGCTTTCTAGTTTCATTTATGTAATTGTGAAAGTAGTTGAAAGATATTTTCCTTTTTAATGTCTATGTTGTTTCTTTCCAGTTAAGCCCAAGGTTGTTGAAAATCGAGATGATACTAAGAATCCAAAAGAGGGTCTAACTGGAGTGATAGCTTGTTGGTTTTCCGGCTTCCCTGATGTCGTCAGCATAAAATGGAAGAAAGACAACAAGACCTTCACAGCTTCTTTACCCAAGGTGAAGGCCTATAATGAAGTCAGAATTCACACAGGAATAACAGTTGCACAGTTACGGATCAACAATGTTGTCGGCGGTGACTATGCTGATTACATCTGCTCAGCAAGTAATAAGTATGGGACTGCCACTGGTGCTGTGAAACTCATCGGTATGTAAGCATCAACATGATCAATTATAAAATGTATTGCTACGCATTCACAGTAAGATCATTGTATGACCCCTTTGGCTTGTCTTCATCATTAACCATTAATAACAACAACAAAAAGCCCAAACAAATATACTTAAGTTATGACTGTATAACAGGAAGTTCTAATAAGGCATGTCATCTTCAGTCCGCTAGTAACAGAAAATGTAATCTGAGCCTGCTTACAACCGCCTCCGTGGTGTAGTGGTTAGAGCGTCAGCCCGGAGAGTGGAAGGTCGTGGGTTCGAACCCCGACCACGTCATACCAAAAGACGTTAAAATATGGTACTTGTTGGTCCCTGCCTGGTGCTTGGCATTAATGGGTACAACAAGGACTGGTCGGCTCGCAGTCAGTATAATGTGTCTGAGTGGGGTATTCAGGCTTCACTGCGGCGTGGTATCTCAGTGGGCTAGCACTATAAAAAGTTTGGGCTAGTACAAGCAGCCGCACATACACATACACATGCATGCACGTCGTCATATGAGCGAAATATTCTCAAGCACGACGTAAACCCAATTTCACCTCACCTCACCTGAGCCTGCTTAATGCCTAAAACTATACATTTTCAAGTTTGGGAAAGGTTTACAAAGATGAGATGGAAACCACCATTAATTAAATTGTTGATGGCATTTGTAAACCAAATTAGTTCTGTTTATACTAATTTCAGTGTCACAAAAGTAAGTCAACAAGAGTAATTAAAAGATGACAAGTTCCCCCAGACCCCAGACCCCACATCTGACAGTTACTCAAAGTCAAACTTCCATTTCTGTCCAATTTGTCCATCTGTATGCAAGAGTAGTTATTGAGCTATCAAAACAATAACATGGAATTGGGATTCATAACTTTGTACATCTGCCAGATACACACCAATATAAAAGTCAAAGAAAAAAATACACATTATAAAATTCCCTTGCAGCAAAAGGCAGCAGTTGACAACCTGGGTTTTGTGTGTGCAAAGTTTCAAGAAAGAATACCTAGTACTCTGTCGAGATATGGTCCTGACAAACTCAACACTATGAACAAAGTCAAACTTGTTGCTATGGAAACAGGAAACAAATTAATTTCTTTAAATTCCTAAATAACAAAAGTCACAACTTCAGCCCTTGGTTAACACATGTACCTGGTTTGGATAAAAAATATCTCATGGTTTTTGATTGGTGCTCTGGAAATGAAATCATTTTACCACCCCTTTTGATACCAAGTCCAAATTGTTTGTGGAAATCGAGAAAAATAAACAAACCAAAAATCCTCAAATAGCAAAAGGCACCACTTCGGGGTCTATTTGATATATATATGCCAAGTTTTGTTGAAAAATATTGAACAGCTGTTTAGTTATGCTCCGGACAGACAGACAAGGTGTTGACTGTGTCCCCCCACTTTACATGTGTATATGCAAGCAAGGTAATAATTGACAGCTGTGACAAAATAAACATTGCTACCAGCTTTGTAACCAAACCACAATGTAATGGCCACTTTGTTTTCAGATCCGTATGCTCAAATCCAGATTCACCCAGCCGCCAGAGTGACCAATGTCACAGGTCAGTACACAACCAACTACATTAGTTCTCATTTGTCCAACTACAATGAATTAGGGTCAATTATATGCTTGCATAAAGTTGATTATATTTTGTAAATAAATGTGTCCCATCAGATAGCTGACTCTTGTCAGTGCAGGGCTTGTCACGGTCATCAACAGGCCTGTTTCTAACGAAAGCTCATTAAGGCAGTTAAGTGTTGGTGTCTCCCAAAAATTAGCAATTAGTGCATTGACAGATGCCATCAGTTCAGCATGTTTTGGTACATGTCGCTTGTGTATGCCATGAAATAAGCGAGAAAATTGGTAAGTTGGCAGTGCAAATTCTGAGCAGAGATTTGAGCTTGGAATAAAACAATCATGAATTTTCAAGCTTCGAAAGACCCCATCTCCCACAGCACCACTTTGATTCTTTTTTCAGAAGAAGTCCTCCTTGGGGTACATATAAGCATTAAAATGTCCATTTTAAATCCTACGACAGTTGTAACTATATTTTTAATAAAATATTTACAAAACAAAAAACTCGTTTTGTCTTGTGAGACCACCCCTACAGGGCCCCACCGGACCAACACAGCCAAGAGCAGGTAACTCTCGCCGTCTACCTCGTACCTCACTTTTCATGCTGTCGTTCTGTTGAATAGACGTGCGTGGTGTTCGTTTCGAGTTTGCTCTCCTACCGATACGATGAGTGTAAAAGAGTCTCAATCTGTATGTATGGTTCCTTTCTCTATGCACGGGCGTTAGATGGACGTCATATGTGGATATTTTCATTCATCTTTTGTTGTAACTTTGCGTGGGTTCTCTGTTTTCCAGCCATGTGGCAGGCAAAATGGCGGACCGCGCGATCGTGGTTTCCTTGCTATATGTTATTGGTAGCTTGTAGTAGGGAGTTCATATATTATGTTTGCATATTATATGGTAGGCTTGCCTAAATTCTCTTTCTTTTCAGCGAATTTGTGGTAAGTCGTTGTTGAGTAATTTTGATAGTGTTCGTTTCAGTATCACTCAACTTTACTCTATCACTAGTACACGCAGGGGTGGCTAGCTTTTTTCTGCTTTGCATTGTATGTTTAGTATTTAAATGGCTGTAGCTTGTAGCATTTTATATATAGCCCGCGCGGATTATTCTTGCTATTACTTGTGTTTATGTGTTTGCTGCTTCACAGTTCCTGCTAGTAACACTGGCGTGGTTCTGTTTGTTGCAGTTTAAGCCCTGTGCGTTGTGCCATGCACACTACCGCCACAGGATGGTTATAAAGTGTGCCTCCGTTTGTTTAGCGAGGACGCCACGACGATCAAGGATGCTCATAATAAACGCCTTTGCGGCCAATATTCCTGTTACATTATGTTGTATTATGATACATATTTCATACGTTTACACACAACGTGGCTCATAGGCCGAGGTTGTGGTTTTTGTCTGGGTTTCTGCGCCTCACGCGCATTCTTTCCGACACGCAGATTTTATGTTTTTCACTAATCTGCTTCAGGCGGGGGATAATATTTGATAAAAGGTTTCTAAGGAAATCCCTTTATCGTTTCCCCCGCAAACAATGTTGCTAATTTAAATATGACTTCACTATTGCAGCAACATATTCTTCAACATAATGTCAATTCGATGATTGATAGCGCGATGTCCGGGCTCCGTAAGGAGCTCAGCTCGCAAAGTGTTGATCTCGAAGGTAAGTTCACCAGGTGTCGTCTGTGGTGAAATTCCCGGCCCGATTGACACGGTGCTGTCTGGGTTCCGCAAGGAGCTCAGCACGCCTGTCGTCGGGGGTGGATCGGACGCATCTGGGGGGGTTGGCTGCGGCCTGAGCTTTGGCTCGGAGAACGCACCTCCTCCCAGGCAGCTTGATCCTGGCTTCGGCTCAGGTGATGGTGTGCCTTCGGCACCTTGTGGCGACCCTAGCTCAGGTCGGGCTCAGGTTCGCGTCACGGGCGCCTGGCCCGGCGATGCAGGTTTCGGCCCTGCAGGTTTTGCCCTGGTGCCCTGACTGGCGGTCGCCATTAGGCGCCCGATGCAGGTTTCAGCTTCGGGACACCTCATCGCCATGCCAAGTGGTCAGTCGGGGTTGCCCGGGAAACCTGTATATCGGCAGGTTCCTCTCGGCGCCCCCGTCTGGGTTCCACTGAGCTGCCGATCACCTCGGCGCTCCTAGGTCTACCTGTGTCCACCAGGGGCAACCTGCATTGCCAGGCTACTCCCTTGTGTCTCGGGACTGCAGATCGGACTAGCACCGACCTGGGCTTCGCCCCGCACGGAGCAGATCCCCAGCTGTTAGCTCAGGTCTCGCCTGATGTCTATCGATGCCCTGGCCAAGAGGCCGTTGAGTGTGACGAGCTGCCGATCATCACCTCGACGCCGAGGTCTACCGTGTACACCAGGCGAGCCCTGCATTGTCAGGCCACTCCCATGTGTTTGGGGATCGGGTTCGAACTTGAACCGCCGACCGATATATATATATATATATACATGTGTATGTATGGGTATTTATATACAGCGCTATAGGCTATGTTTGACTATACGCTCAGTGCGCTTTTGGAGAGTACTTGGGGAAACCTGATTTATCAGGCTACTCCTACGTGTCTCCGGATCGGGGTTCGGTCTAGAACAGCTGAGCTTCGGCTCTGCGGATTCTCTGAACCCCGTGGGTAGCGCCGACCCAGGCTTCGGCACTGGTAGGGCGCAGATTCCCGACTCCGGTAGTTCAGGTCTCGGCGCCGGTAGTTCAGGTCCTAGACCTAGATGCCATCGAGTGTGCCGGGTGTGACTGTCACCTCGCCGCTCCGAGGTCTGTCTGAGTGCTTGTGAAACCTTGATTGTCAGGCTTCTCACATGTGCCTCGGAATCGGGGTTCAGGCTCGTACAGTGGACAAGTCGATTTGAGCTTCGGCCCATTTCGCTACTTTGAACTTACCACTAAGTAGGTTCGTCCCTGAGGGCAAGTGCGAGATAGAATCGCGGCTGTGTTGCCTCAGGTGTTGTCCATGTCGACTACCCGAACCGTTGGAGTTCGCCTCCCGGAGGGAAGCTTGCTTCCAGCACGGCATCCGGGACAAGGCCTCACACTCTCCCTTAAGTCTGCTCAACGCTGTATGCTCCACTCGGCGCATCTCTCAGCGCTGCTGAGGGAGCTGGTGGAAAGGGGAGAGAGCACCGGTGGAATTTTTTTTTTTCGTCGGCGACTCTGGGCAGCATCTGACGGGGGCAACTCTCATCTGGCTAGGGACTGCATTGTAGCTGTGCCAGTCAAATGATGAGGGCGGTTATGGGCATACACGCCCGGGACAGTTTCGAGGAATACGGAAGTCTGTTGAGCTTCTCGTTACTTCCTCAGGTGCCCAGGCATCAGCAAACGTTAAGTTGCTGACTGCTGGGGTTACTATATTCTGCCGCAAACACCGGCGGAGCGACACACTCCTGTGTCGGCTTCCCGGGAGACGGCGACAATACTCCGTGCCCAGATCCAGTCTTTGCTGGGCTAGGCAACCAGTGTGGTGGTTTCCAATGGTCAGGAATATGTGGGGTTTGACTCCACTTATTTCATAGTTGCCATTACGAACGGAATGTTCAGACCCATTCTCATCTGAGAGCAAGTTTATAGAGGTACTGTCCTTCAAGATGGAGACACCGCTCGGTGATCTCATCTGCCGAGACATAGGATTGGCGACGCCAATCGACCTCGAGGTCGCGTACCTCCTTGTTCCATTGCACCCTGATTTCAAGATTTACCTTCCGGTTTCTTGTTTGACGGGACGTGCTACCAGTTTCGTGTGCTCTCCTTAGGCTACATTACGGTGCCAAGGGTGTTCACCAAATTGAGGTTTATTACAGCTCAGATAGCCAGATCGCAGTGCCGGTGTTGTCACCCGTGCACATAGGCGACTGACTCATCGTGGTTTCAGATAACTGTTGAGTCTCGGGACCTCACGATCAGTTACTTAAGAACTGGGCGGAATTGTCAACCTCCACGCAGTCAGATGGACAGGACGCCAGGCGTCTCTCCGAGGGTCCCCACCCTGGAGACACCGCCGCTCTCAGTCCAGCCAGATACATCCCTACCGGGTTAGGCGATGTTCTGGGTGACCTGCAGCCTCTTGAGACGAAGTCACAACCTGCACATCAATGTGCTGGAATTGACAGCAGTCAGGTTGGTGTTGATCCGCGCACACCGGGATTGAATTACCTCTTCGCCAGACATTCTCACTTCATCGGGCGCCACACCGAATCCTCAGATTCACTGGGTGGCTTGGTCTCTGTCGGGTATAACACACGAATTCCTGCAACCGTTGCAGACACAATTCTGCCTGGGATTCGACACCCGCTCAGTGTGTTGATAGGTGGGCGCTGCTGTGCAGATAGGGGATTTCATAATCCCTATTCTGCGGACTTAGTTCGGATATTGGAGTTACTATAACCTCGCTTTTGGTTGAGAGCCTTATGACGTCCACCATTGCCGGGTACTCCATGGCTATTTCCACGCTTTCACACCTCGCTCGATGGTGCTCTGCCTAGGCAGCATCCTCTCTTACATCGCGCGTCGTGGCTGGCATGAACAGGGTTCGACCGCCAGTCGGCGACCCAGCCCACCTTAAAATTGCCACTTATTCACAATTGGCTGTCTGGCCCTAATTTTTCAAGTATATCGTCTCTCTCACTTCACTTGTTGACGTGGAAGACGACTTTACTTGTTGTGGTGAACTCTGGTAGAAGGGTCGGGTACATCCATGCGATTCCCACTGACCCGACACTGACAGTATTTTATACTGATCATGTCCCCAGATTCGACTCCCGGATACCTACCACTCTCAGTCGCGATATTGCTTTCCACGTGACTGCTCATATCGCACTTCCACCCTTACCCAGCCTTCCGCACCGGGGACCAATCTTCGATTGCTCACCCGTGCCTGTCACTTAACGAACGAACAAAAGGGATCCGTACGGGTACCCATGTGTGTGCTGTTTGGTGGCGGGAAGACTGGGAGTCTGCTAGCAAGCGCGAC